ACACTGTATTTTCCCACAAAAATTTTTCTACAGCAGTTTTTCTAGAACTATTCTATATTCTTTGTGTTTTTATGAGCTTTGTTACACACTTCATGAAAATATATATTAAACACAAGAGTAGATATTATTAGCACTTCTAGCATACCATTTTAACACGAGCAAATCAAATTGGGTCTATAGATTATGTGAAAACAGACATAAACATCAAAGCATATATTACAAGTTGTTCTCTATCTTATTTGGCAGGTATTGTGAAATCTCCGTTTCTTTTCAATTGCTGTATTTTTCACTTGTTGACTCTATTGTTAACCTTTCCCTAATTTTTGTTGTTTTTTTCTAGAGCCTTCTAGGATTTTTTGTTTCAGATATTACATTAAGCATCTTTTTGGTAAAAATCTTTTTTCTTTCTTTTTCTAGCAAATTCATTTTAAAACTTCTTACCCGACTGATATTATAGTCGAGGAAATGAAGCAATGAACATTCGAAAATCGGCGCAGTTGACTAATACGATTGTGAAGAAATGAAACATTACATTTGTGCATAAGAAGCATTTGAAAAATTTTATGCAAATTAAAAAAAATTAATTCTGATACAATATAGCTGAACACAAATATCATGTTGGCGAAAGTCACCAGGGCCTGGGAACCAAAGACCCAGATTCAAAAATGTTGTTTACTGGAATTTAATTTTTTTTAATTGATCTTTTTTATGGTAAAGTTGGTAGCACTGTTGCTACCTTTAAGCTACTACAGGTAAGGAGTTCCTTACCTACTTTCACCATATGCAGCAATAGCATAAACGCTCACGTGTATCTTTTATCGTATTTGTTTTTATATTGTTAAAGATATTTATTAAATAAAAACTAGTATAAAATGTTGTATAAATTTAAGTAATTAATTGATTTAGTTACATATATTTATTTATTGCATTCTTCACCTTCGCTGAAATTATATTTGTGTCCAGCAATCTTGAAAACCCCCCAAGAAACGAGTTTTTACATGGAATTTATAAAACTCCCGGAGACGAGGTATGTACTATCCACCTTGGTCACCAGGTACATCGGAGATTTTCGCCGACATGATATTCGTGTTCAGCGCCCCCCAAAATATTTGCCACGTGAAATTTTTTTAAATTTGCAACTCTGGAAAATGCATTTTCTAAATCCAATTTTTTATTTGTTAATGATTGCATTAGTTTAAAAAATACTGCATCTCAATACGTCTTACTGTGCCCATTTTCGAAGGTTGAGCCGATTTTTGTGCTTCATTGCCTCGACTATTAAATTTTTTGTCTTCTTCATCGACTCATTGGGTGACTCATACTTGGCTGTATAATTTTTTGTTTACTTTGTGTAGTCTATTATCGATCATTCATCCTCAAAACCTCCATGTGTACTTATAAATATATTTATGTCTAAAGAAATGGTCCTAATACACATTTGAAGGATTAAAATGACTCGAATATTTTATAGCCGCTTGCTAACGAACATTTTATGTGTACTGTTCCAAGAGTGTGTAAAATTTTTAAAGATTTCTTATAGCTGTACAAATAATAAAATGCTGTATCTTTTTATCAACTGTTTTTAATCCTGAAAGAATTGGTATGTTGTACAAATATGGTCAGATCTATCAAATTATCTTTACTCTTTCGTAACAAATTGTTTGTATATTTCATTTGTCGATGCGCTCATTCCGAACTTTGGACCATTTATTACCAAATATACCAAACATACTACTGTTGTTCAACGAGAAGACTTTTACAAGTTTTAAACTGGACTAATTTCATCAGTAAAATCTACCTCTATCGCCGAATTGAACCGACGACTCTTTAGTGACAGAAAGTGGGCTTTGTAAAATGTATGTTCTAAGATCCTTTATACGCATCATAAGACCCTTCATGGTTTTGAGGATTGTCAGGCAAAAGAATGACATTACTTGTCATTCACTTGAGCATTTAAAAGATCTGCGTATCGTTTAGTGTTATCTCGCAATAAAAAAATTTAAGCCATTACTTTTTCTGTCCCATGTTAAAATTTTTTGGATTTCCGAATATGAATTCTAGAAAATCTTCTTTTTATTGCGCCATCTCCTTTCGAAGGTTGGCGATCCAAATGGCAATTGTAGCTTTGGAAACTGCTACACGAAAGATTTATGTGTATGAGCGGTCAAACTATCTCCTCAGGTCTTTCAGCCACGAGTTCTGGCGTCTTCCAACTGATCTTTTGCCCTGCACTTTACCTTCCAATATGATTTGGAGTAATTCATATCTTTCAATTTTCAACACATGACCCAAGAATTATATTTTTCTTTCTTTGATTACTCATGCGCCGAAGTACCTCACCATTGGTAACTTTTTGTATTCATGGAAACACTGTAGCAAGTAGTCCCAGTAATCCACATTCTTCGAGCATTCCGCCATACTTCACCAGACTGAGAAATAGTTGCCCTTCATAAATGTATACCATTTTCATGAGCAACAAATATTTCTTTGTTATACAAGTTTATCAAATCATTACTCAGTTCCATTGTAAAACTTATAATATAATACAAAGGTAACAACTTATTGTTACTAAAAATTTCATGGTACATAGCTAATTGTAATAAATTACTTTGTGACACTTCTGCTTCTACTAAATTATGGTTTTCACTTTTTGACAAACTTAATTGCAGTTCCGATCCTTCTGCACCAGAAAGTAGAATGTCTAAAACACTGATCTCAGCATTACTATCAAGACGACTTTCTAGTGCTGCTTGAGAATTAGTTTTCCCCATGAGACAGAAACCATTTATTAGGGTTGCTTTTTCATAAACAGTGTTCTCTTTTTTCAATTTTCTCCATTGTTGCGTCGTATCTGTACTACTTAGGTCTTCTAAGTTCTGAATGGAGCATCTACAACAAAAACAACTTATATATTGTCAATTCTTTCAAAAATAAATATGTATTTTTACCGAAAAACGAGGAGCAAAACAGCAACAACGTGTTTGCATTTCCCAGAGGCTCCAGCTTGACAGGTACACTTGTAATTGAAAGTCTTTTTCGAATCGGTTGACACTATTTGAATTCTTATTTGATGCGGTAATCCTTTCAGATTGCTGGTTTGCAAACATACCTAATGCCTCAAGTTTCACCTGAACTTCATTTTTTGATGTTACTTCACACATTATTATGTGATTGGCATCTAGCACTGCTTGTCCTTCAATTAAAGGTATTTTTGAATCGCCCACAATATTAATTATATCAATAAACGTTATCCCGATTATATCCTCCATATTGATACAGCTGCACTGCCACCTATAGTCGATTGAGTTCGCGAATTGATATTTGCACCCAAATATTTTATGGAAGTTACCTGTTCTATTATTTGTCCCTTGTCATACAAATGTACGTTTGTAGGTATCTTTGAAAATACATACTTCAATTTTAGTTTTGGAAACATTTAGATGTAAACCGAACATTTCGCTATGACGAACTACGAACTATTTATTATATTTTGTAGTTCTTGTGCGTTGCTTGCTATTAGGACGGTATCATCAGCCTATCTGATGTTGTCTATGCTGGTTCCGTTAATCTTGATTTCAATGGACCTCGTCTAATGCTTTTCTGAATATAGATTCCGAGTAAAGATTAAATAACAGCGGTGATAAGACGCAACCTTGTCGCACTCCTAGGCGGATTCGTATATCTTCGGATGTCGTGTGCTCTATTACAATTGTTGCCTTTTGGTGCCAATATAGTTCTGAGATAATTCTCAAGTCTTGTTCGTCAATTCCAGTTGTTCTCAGAATTTCGGACATTTTCTGATGGTTAATGCAGTCAAATGCTTTTCGACAATCAATAAAATATGCATATACATCTACATTCACGTCTCTGCATTGTTATGTTAACACATTTAAGGCAAAAAGAGCTTCTCGTGTTCGCAATCCATTTCGAAATCCGAAATGAGTGTCACTCATCTAAACCTCACACTTCGTATAAATTCGTGTATGAATTATTCTGAGAAAAGTTTTAAGGACATGAAACATTATGCTTAATATTCGATAGTCATCGCAGTGTGAGGCATTGGATTTATTTTTTGGTAGAAAATACAATTTCCACAATTACATTTAACGTCTATGAAATTTATCACACTTTCATGTGCCTATTCGTGAATTTACAACTGTCTCAAATTTTCATTTGATACACTTGCTGGTCAAGTTCTGGCCTAACCATTATTGGATACTCTTTATGGTTGACAACCCTCAGTTACTAAAAACTAAATAACATTTATGTTGTTATTTAGCTATTCGTGAATTTACACTTGTCTCAAATTTTCATTTGATACACTTGCTGGTCAAGTTCTGGCCAAATCATTATCGGATACTCTTTATGGTTGACAACCCTCGGTTACCAAAAACTAAACAACAACATTTATGTTGTTATTTAGCTATTCGTGAATTTACAACTGCTCAAATTTTCATTTGATGCAGTAACACTTGCTGGTCAAGTACTGGCCAAATCATTATTGAATATTCTTTATGGTTGACAACCCTCAGTTACCAAACTAAGTAACAACACGCAAATTTTTGGGCAAATTGTTGTTGATCGTTGATGTCATTTTCCAAATCAATAATAATGACTTAATAAAAGTCAAAGGCAAATATTTTTAACATAGGCGTCCGTAGCACGTCAACAAACAAAAAACTTAATTGATGAAGCCACCTATATCCTGTTCAAACGTCTTGAACCCTGTACCCCTTGAGCAATCCTAATAGTTTTATTTGTAGAATGTATATCTACCTTTATTTGTATATACATCCTGTGTTCCCTTTTAACGTATTTTTGCATTTTCTGTATAAAGTTATAAAACGTTGTCGTTTTAGTTCTGTTATATCCTTTTGAAAATTAAATTTTATACCATACTAACCGAAATTAATATACACTCACACGACTAATTCATATACACATTATATTTTATATATTGTCTTTTTTAAATGTATGATCAGTTGTTTATATTTTATTAGACGGTGCATCAAAAATTGGAACTTACGCTAGACGAAGATAGCATTTTCTACAAGCTTGGGAGTTCCGGATTAATAACATTTTCGGATTACATTTTTCTCCTGACTGTGTTATCTAGTAAGTAAATGTTATATAGCTATCGAATATTTTAATTTATATTAATAATCATAGTCACCAAAAAATTCCAACTTATAAACAAATGGCTAAGATTATCAAAACAGCCAGCCTCGAAATCAAGATTGATTGACTGTTTAAGATCTTTCCACGACTGATTAGTTTGATGATTCAGTACTCCTTAGGTTCGTCTGCTGTTTATTTATCTTTACATGGTTTTACCGGTTTTTTATTTGTTTTTTCCGATTACTTCTTACATAGATCACTACTCTTTAAATTATTCAAATCTTATTCTTATTTTTCCTATCGTAAATCTTAAAAAATTTATTATTCAGTTGTTCACCGAGTTTGTTTATTTCCATTAAGAGTGTGTTAGAGGTATAGCAATATAAGTTGGTAATACTTTTTTAACTGTCGGCCATTTTGACAGCTGTCAAATGATTTATGTTAAAATGAACAAGACAGTCAAGATTTGATTTCACGTACAAAGCGTCTATGTATCTGTTTATACGTATTTCGACCTAATAGGTCTCACCAGAACAGTTATTCATAGGCTGAGTTTCACTCAACGTGAAAAATAAATCTTTTCTGTCTTTTAAGAAGCAACACTAAAATGGCTTCGATATGGACGCAATAGCGACATCTGATATTAAATCCGTAAAATAGTTTCGAAATCAATTCAGATGTCTGCTTTAATCTGAACCTTCTAAAAATTCCAAGAAACCAATTCGCTAAGGATTTCTGCTTAGTTGAGGAGACATGTCGTGGAATGCAAATTTTAGATTCCCCATGTCTCTTTTAACATCTTTATCAACGTCTGTTATACCTTGCAATTTTTAGAAGGTTCAGATTAAAGCAGAAATCTGAATTGATTTCGAAACTATTTTACTGATTGATGTTAAGTTTAGTTTGCCATTTTAGCATGAATAGACTTGACACCTAAACGACGATTTCAAATTGTGCAATTTTTTTTTGGAAATTATGGTTCTGTTCGAAATACATATCACGCACTACGTCTATTTTATGGTCAACATAATAGTCCATCAGAGCAATTAATTCGATTAACCATGGAATGTTTTCGCACCACGTTTACTCTAAATAATACGCATCCATGGACACGTCGCAGAACAAGTTGTTGCTGCTCTAGAACGTAGCATAGAGGAAGACTCGAATCAGTCTATCCGCCATCGTGCAAAGCAGTTGGATACGTATCCATCCACTTTATGGAAGATTAGAGATTAGATTAGATTCTGTGAATGGGTCCAAAACGAGATTGCTGTTGATTCCGATTTTCATAAGCGAATTTTGTTTAGAGATAAAACTCACGTTTGGTGCTTTATGGGCTAGTGTAATCATTGGAACGAACTTCTTCAAAAACGTTGCTATCCAGAATGTTACAATCAATGGTGACCGCTATCGAGACATGATTTTTGACAAGAGTATATTTTAAAAGAGGATCTTTGGAGATGGTTTTCTTCTCTGGAAGCCGTCTGTTCAATTAACGGAACATTATATATGTTTTTTATTTTTATCCAGATTTAAGCAATACTGCTCTCACTTCCTGTAAGAAAAAAAATCACCCATCCCAGATACCTACCAACCAGATATGAAAGGATGGTGCTCTGGCGGGGCTCGAACATTGATATGTTGCAGTAACTCTGAGTAAATTTTTCGTACACATCTAGACGTCGATAGTGCATGATCTTATTCGCTGTGTGCAAGTACTTGGAGGAGATACGAGAAACGATTGCGCGCACATTTATTAAGTATGTACTATCATTGCAGAAAATGGGATTTCACAAATGTATTATAAATTGCGAAAATATAAGATATAAATTCAAGTTCTATTTTTTCCAAATTCTAAGCAAAAATTAATGCAAAGAGAAAAGTGGATTTCTAATATAAATTACAATAATTATTGTATTAAATAAACAAGTTTAAGGGCCGATTGTTCGAACGCTAATTGAAACTTGATTGTAATCAAATATTTAATTACAGTCTAATACGTCACTGGATCTGTCAATTTATTAAAAATTGCTTACTATTATTATTGATGTGTAAATAAAAACATGAAATTAACATAAGAAAGAGTTTAATAACCTCAAAATGTGACGTATTTGATTTTAATTAAATGTTTGATTACAATCAAGTTTGGATTAACGTTAGAACAATCGGCTCAAAATCTATTTATTTGCAGTTAACTAAAAATTTCGCTGATGTACGATACTAGGTGTCGCTCTTCCGATATGTCCTTGAATATAATTTTTACAATAATTATTGTATTAAATAAACAAGTTTATTTATAAACATGTCTTATCTGGGACATATAGTAAGGGAAAGTCGCTTTAAAATATTACAACTGATCCTTAAAGGCAAAATAGAGGGCCGTAGAGGTGTAGGAAGAAAACAAGTTTCTTGGTTTAAAAACATTCGTGAATGGACTCAGATACCAAATGCAGGACAATCATTCCATATTGCAGAAGATCGAGAAGCCTTTGCAATGGTGATCGCCAACGTCGGATAATTCTGATATGGCACGCGAAGAAAAAGAAGAAACAATTTTAGGTCATTTGATTTGCAGTTTACATACGAGTAGTAATATATGTATATGTATGTATACGGTCGCTCTTCCAAGCTTGCACATAGCGAATAGAGATGTTCGCATCTATCTCTTGATAAAGGTTATTTCCTACTGAGTTGCTGTTGCTGTTCTTTATATCCAATTGTAGCAAATGTCTAGCAGCTTCCGGTTAGATTTTGGATGGTTTCTTGGACTTGACATCGGCATTTAGAGGTTTGGACCTTAGGGTCTTTGATAATATATTTCAAGTAATTTTTGGTTGGTATAACCTGATCCTGAGTGACGAGTAGTGAACGTTTTGTCTCAGGGAACATGTTTTTTGATGTCAACCAATAGTTCGACGCTGTCTAAAAGATTAAATAAGTTTATGTCTTATTTTATCTCTATACCTTACACATAAAAATTCAAAGGTTAATTTTTTCCGAAGCCGTTTGTTGTGATAACGGGTAGTAATGCAGCCATCTGGCTTATTGTACATGTTCCATTCGTATAACCCACTGGCTCAGTATTTTCTGTTAACGACTACTTACGTAACCAGGACCGACGGCTTTACGCGCCCTCCGAAGCACGTTGGCGAGTCAGTTAAAATAGAAATTGAAATATTTCTGGTGTGTGTACCGGGATCGAATCCAGGCTGTTCGGCATTCTTGATTTTAAAATTGTTTAAGTGTCAACTACACTTCAACCTTCTTTGTTTATTCCGTTTTTAATTTCTATACTTTATTATTTATAATTGATGGATTCGACCGTTTCTTGATGGAAATTCATTTTATGTAACAATAAAACACTGAAAACTTTGTTTTCAAACTTCCACAAAATTTTGTGGAAGTTTGAAAACAAAGTTTTCAGTGTTTTATTGTTACATTTACTGTTTATTTTATTTAGATTTACTAGGTAAATAAAATTTTGTATGATACATATTTTTCCATCAATATAGTTAGTTACTGTAAAAATCACTTGTTAAAAACTTACCTAATGTTAAAAACTTCTACTTACTTAATATAATTTATTAATAATAGATTTTACTACTAATGTCAATAGGGTTAATATTTTAATATTTTAATATTTAAGCATCTCGTCGTCATTTCGAAATCGCTTTCCGCATGTTTGACCTCAACGGAGATGGTGATGTGGATTGCGAAGAGTTTGAAAAGGTTGCGACGCTCATCAGACAACAGACCAGCATTGGATCCAGACATCGGGACCATGCAAATACAGGCAATACTTTCAAGGTACAAGAAATGCTTCTAAATCTTAATATGAAAATGCTAATAGTATTGTTCAAGAGTCCTGGACTTATTGTCAGGTTCTCGTTTACATGCGACACTTAATTTGCACTATTTTTCTTATACCGGTGTCTCTACTAGGTCACTATATACACAAAAAAGACGTGATGCTCCATTCATTTACATATATTATGTGTTCTTGTTTCCCGTCTGGCAGTGCTGTCAGTGGTAGCTCTACACCTTACTTTTAGACACTTAGAAACCGAAACTTTCGCGCCGCCGGTAACAAGCAATGTCCGTTAATATCATATAAATGTGGCGACGCATGTAGGTATCCTCCTACATCTGCCTTGTATAAATCCAAATTGATCTCGATTGCTTCACATATCAGTTTATAAATTACTATCTTCCATATTTTATTGGTGTGACTACGTAGTTTTGTGGTCCTGTAGTTTGTGTATTGTTGAAACGTCTTTATTTTTGTCTACAGATTCTAAGATACCGCTTCTTCATGCGTCTGATATTTATACCCATCTATCCATCTAATTAGCCTTCTTCGGTCCATCTTTGGACATAGGCCTCCCCAATCCTTTTCCATTCATCTATGTCTGTCGCTACATTCATCCACCTAGAGCCCACCTGCTTCTTGATATTATCTTCCGGCATATATCCGGCAAATCTCCATTTCAATTTTGCAACTTCTTGTCTAACATCCCTCACTTTGGTTTTCTCTCTTATCCACTCTTTTCTCTTTTTATCCATTAGTATTATGTGCAACATTTGTCTTTCCATTGCTCTTTGGGTTTTTATGATTTTGTCCATATTTGCTTTTGTAAATGTCCACGTTTGGGAACCATAAGTGAGAACAGGGAGTATGCATTGATTGTATACTTTGGCCTTAAGATGCTGTGGATATCTTTTGTTTTTAAGAATGTAGCTTGAATTTGCCAAATGCCGCATTCCAGTCTACCTCGTCTTTTTATCTCTGCTGTTTCGTTTTCTTTCTGCCAAGTTAACTTTCAGACATTTCAGACAGATACCTAGGCACTGACCAATCATATTTAATTAATATGTAAGCTAAAAGAGGTACTTTATGGAAATAATGTATTCGGGGTTAATTAACTATATTAAATATGAAAAAATTTAGAATTTTAGCGATGGCGAATATGTAATAAAATAGATATTAAAATCGAAGAATGATGACGTGGGCTCTGTGATTTGTGCTTTCTCTTAGTGTTGCAAGATTAACCAATGAATTCTGCCAACCAAATTTGCCTTAATAAATTGTTACTGTGAAAAAACATATAGTGTGTTAAAATAAAGAATTTTTTGTTTTTTTGATAATAATTTCACTGTTTATGTATAAATTGTTACCAAAATCGGCAAACGAGCATAACTTTGGACAATTTTATTTATTATTTTACATTTTATTATGATAGGCGCTATGGTATGATTCCTGATGATAAAATTGAGTCGAAACTTTTAGTCGTTTTAATTAAAATGGGGTGAATAGGAACACAATTTCACTAAATAATAACAATACTCTTCCCAAACATATATATTATTTTCTTTGGGCTATTTAAGTTTTGCAGGTTGGCTAATGTGATATGGCTTTGGGAAATTTAGTGACTGGGTTCAGTCTATTGCAATTCCCCTTTTCAAGGACTTAGAAGGGAAAAAATGCCTAATTGGGGACAACTTGTCGTCTCACTTGTCAATCGAAGTTTATATCTTTACCAAGTAAGTAATTCTACTCACCGTACTCAGCCCCTCGTTGTGGCATTCTTCAGATCCGTGAAGACTATGTGGCGCAAAATAGTTGAAAAATGGAAAACAGGACCAGGAAGAAATTAATCCACAGTAGCAAAAGACAAGTTTCCTAGACTATTAAAGAAACTGGTTGATAGTCTTTCAGAGGAAAATGCCAAATCAGGGGTTAAAAAAATGCGGCATCGTGCCTTTGGATCACACCAAAGTCCTAAGAATGCTGCCGAACTCAGACAATGATAATACCAGACAATCTGGATCATAAACGCCCTTGTCAGGTTCTGTTCGCGTGGTAGGGATTGATGACACTGTAGAAGAATTTTTGAAGACATTAAGACAGTCTGATACTCAGAGACAAAAGAAAAATAAAACAAAAATGAATGTCAAACCGGGAAAAAGTGTTGTGGCGACAGATTTAGAAGAAGAAGAAGAAGAGTTTGAACCTAAAGGAGGAACATCAGAAGTTCAGAACATAGAACTGAATCCCTCAAAAGAAATTTCCCAAATTCACTTGCGCTAACCCTTGAAACTTCTTAGTGGTCAAAGTATATGGCAAGATCAAGCAATATTTCAGGCTCAACGTTACTAAAGTTATCTATCATCAAGATAGCGGCTACTTAGGAATATTTTTTAAGAAGGTTCTCCAGGCTTGGAAATTTTCCGAAACTGAAGAGGAAGCATTTTTTAAACCCGATGATATTATAAGACAGTTATCTATACGTATAAACGTGAATACCTCGTCTCGGTTTAAAAACCTAATTAGTTTTAACAATGATCTTAGTGATTTGTGTTTATATTAGCCGACCTTAAAAGTGAATTTTTCATTTCAACAATAAACTTTTCCAATAAAACAAACTTTATATTTATATGTGTATGTTACTTTACACCTTATACACTTTTTACCTGTTCCTATTGACCCTATAAATGTATGAATAGGAACACAATAGCTGTTCCTATTCACTCCACTTAGTGGGGTAAATAGGGACACCAGGTTTTGATTTTTTTGTGATTAGGGTATTAACTTTCTAATTTTTTAACACCGAAATATCAAAAGAGGAAGGTAAGGCCCAAATAAAAATGCATAAGTTTTATGTTTGCAACATGTGCTAGTGGCTTTTTTATAGTTAAACATTGGAAACCGTTCCTATTCGCTCCATTTTACGGTAAACATTATTTTTACGTAATATTGTTGTAAAGAAGGCTTTGGCTCGTGAAGGGCTGTAGTACTAATGATGATAATTGATGGAGTATCGTTCCTTATATTTAGTTACAGCAAATGCGCGGCAGCCATCTTTAAGATGCTTAATTTCTTGAGCCTGGTATCCATATGGATATAATATATATATATATATATATATATTATATATATATATATATATATATATATATATATATATATATATATATATATATATAATATATATTGTTTTGTAACCGAGAATCTTCAACGATGTTTCAGGAAATTGAAATAAGCTGATTCTGAATGGCATGTAGGAAACTCCCTGTTTTGATAAACATATTTGCTGATCAACTATTTCCAGTGAACCAATAGTTCGACCCTATATTGTTGGCAAAGTCTTGGCTGACTTCATTTGGATACAGCCCTTAATTTATTGTTACCTCGGGTTAAGCGGTGTTACGTTATCTATTACCCTAATTATGTGATATAAAATAAATGGGACGAATGTTCTTACTTTAAGCTGAACATTCTCCAGATCGAGTTTACTACAATTAATTATATAAAAGATTAAAAGGTTATGTGTTTATTAATTGAAAGAAAATTTTAATGTTGAGGTTAGTACGCAATAGTAGTTTTATGAATAGTTTCGTTCGAATTCGGTTGTCCATGACCTTTATGTTTGGGCCATTTTGCATATCAAAATTTCTTCTGGTTATATTAAGATTACGGTTCTTGTCCAGTCCGAAGTTCAGGCTAACTTCACGTAAGTGTTCAGAGTTTTTAACATCTACTTTAGATGATTCTGGATGGAAACCATTATTTCAAGTCATCCATATACAAGAGATGATTACGCTTCGTCACCACAGCGTTGATGTTTAGAATGCTTAAACCACAGTCAGCGGTTCAGTAACTGGAAAAGTTGGTTTCTTTCTAAACAAAACCATAATGGACTCAACGATTAACGTAGGATTAGCTTGCGTTTCATTGAGATATTATCAGCGTGGATATTGTTCTCACCTGGTATTTTAAAGTGAATTTTAGTGTTTCAGTCTGTTATTATTTGTTTTAAGAAGATCATACTATTATCATCGGCTTTATAAAGTTTAAATATACTTATAGGCCATTAAAACTATTAATAGGCCAGAGATTTTCGATTCTGAAGTTCTTTGATAATATTCGGAACTTTTTGTACAATTTGTACAACTTTTTGTCTGGTCTTGTAAATTTCTTTAATCTACTCAAGGTTGTCTTAAAAGTAGCTGGTGTTGTAAATTGATTTCCACAAAACACACTCTCTCTCTTTCTCATCATATAGAAAAGAACACAAGAAATATATGGAGCGTTCTATATTTTCGGTGTCTCCCTCAATGAGGCGCAAGTCCAGATGCTCTTCATGTTCTTGCGTCTCACTGAGGGAGACACCGAAAATATAGAACCCTCGACGATGGAATAAGTGAAACAAGCAATACAAACACAAAAGGAGAACAAGGCCCCAGGTATTAACAACGTCCACTCTGAGCTTTATAAATTAGGTGACGTACACCTAGTAGAACAAATGCATGTGCTCATAAATAAGATTTGGAATGATGAAAAGATCCGTAGTGACTGGAAAACTGGGATTATAGGCCAAATTTATAAAAAATGGGATAAACTGAAATGCGAAAATTATTGTGGCGCAACCCTCTTGTGCCACCGTACAAAGTTTTTACTTACATTCTAAACATGTACACGTAAAACATGTACATGTAAACATTTTACTTACATTCTAAACGACTCCAACAATTAACTTAAAATATTGTCGGGGAATATTAAACTGGTTTTCGACTAGGAAGATCTACAACTGATCAGCTATTCACAGTGTAACAAATTGTAAACAAATCGTGGGAATATGACATTGACGTCAACAACATATTTATAGATTTCAGACAGGCCTACAACTCAATTAATAGACACAAGTTATATCAAATATTGCATAGCTTTTATCTAGGCAGACATAGGTAGCATGTATTTCTGCTACCCTCTGAGCATCGGCGTTACGAATAGCCAGATAGCATCTCAGCCCTGCGCTGGTACCACGCCTGATAGAAGAACTGACAAAACTTCCACAGGGAGTTAGTTAATCTTATTATCATTATTTTATTTTAGGGTGTCAACTCGGCCTTAACAACGTATTTCTTTGGACCAAGTTTAAAACAAAAATTAACTATCGAAAAATTCTTGGAATTTCAAGAAAAACTTCAGAAAGAAATTCTAAGCTTGGAGTTTCAAAGAAAGACGCCAGACGAAAATGGAAATATATCTGAAGCCGATTTTACGGAACTGCTTCTGGCCTATGCTGGTTATCCCCAAAAGAAGAAAGCTAGGATGTTAAAAAGGGTCAAAAAGACGTGAGTATACATTTTCTACATTTATATCTTTCTTAATCCTACAATCACGGCGACTTCTCAGTATGATAAAATAACATGTCATATGTTTGTAATATGTAATTATTTTTGTAACTTTTATTCAGCAGTCCAGTTATAAGCATTTTAATGACACAAAAACCCTGATCCTGACAAAAAGAACCGTTATTAAGTTACAAATCTTGCAGTACTGCAGGAACAATCAATGTTGAGTCTAAGAGTTTATCTCTACGAGGTCGGATTCCAAATACAGAAATCTGAAGAAAAAAAATGAACGATCATAAAATAGGAGGTATCCTCCTACATCTGCCTTGTATAAATCCAAATTGATCTCGATTGCTTCTCATATCAGTTTATAAATTACTTCTTCTTCTTCCTATGCCGTCCCCATTAACGGAGGTTGGCGACCACATTTTTAAAAGCTTCTCTGTCTTTTGCAACGTGGAATAATTCGTCTACAGTCATGTTTGTCCAGTCTCGAATATTTCGCAGCCATGACTTCCTTTTTCTACCTATTCCCTTTTTGCCATCGACTCTACCCTGCATGATGACCTGCAGAAGACTATATTTATTATTTCTTAGTATGTGTCCAAGGTATGCAGTCTTGCGTACTTTTATCGTTCTCAACAATTTTTTGACTCGACCCATTCTTCTCAGCACTTCCTCATTGGTGACCCTGGCAGTCCATGGGATTCTCAACATTCTCCGGTATATCCAAAGTTCAAAGGCTTCAATCTTTTTAACTATTTGCGCTTTTAGTGTCCATGTTTCTACCCCGTACAATAATAGCGACCAGACGTAACATTCAACAAACCTCAGTCTCAGCGCAATATTCAGATTTTTGTCACAGAACAATTGTTTGAATTTTAAGAATGCTGCCCTTGCCATTTCTATTCGTATCTGGATCTCTTGGTCTGGATCTAATTCTGTGTTGATGTAAGCTCCCAGATATTTATATTTTGTCACTCTCTCTATTTGCTGTCCATCAAGAGTTAGTTGTTCATTATTTATTGGACTCCTTGATACTATCATAAATTTGGTCTTATCTGTGTTGATGTCAAGTCCCATTTGAATGCATTCACTATTTATTGCATCTAGTAAAGTTTGTAGATCTTCTATACTCTCAGCCATAATTACCGTGTCATCTGCAAATCTCATGGTGTTTATGATTTCTCCACCAATTCTTATTCCCTCTTTTCTTTCCCATAAGGCTTTTCTGAATATGACCTGTGAGTACACGTTGAAAAGCGTCGGAGACAAGACGCATCCTTGCCTAACCCCTCTCGCAATCGGTATATTATTTGTTTCTATATCGTTCACCTTTACTACTGCTTTCTGGTTCCAGTATATAGCCTTAATAAACTCAATGTCTTTTTTGTCTAAATTGATGTTTTTTAATTCATGTATTAACTTCATATGCTGCACTCGGTCAAAGGCCTTCCTAAAGTCTATGAAGCATACATATGCACTCTTGTTATATTCCCGACATTTCTGCAAGAGTACCGTCAACGCAAATAATGCCTCTCTTGTTCCCATGCCTCCTCTGAAGCCAAACTGAGTTTCATCTATCTGTTCCTCACATTTCTTATAAATTCGGTTTTGAACAATTTTCAAAAGAATCTTTCTATAAATTACTATCTTCCATATTTTATTGGTGTGACTACGTAGTTTTATGACCCTGTAGTTTGTGTATTGTTGAACATCTTTATTTTTGTCTACAGATTCTAAGATACCGCTTCTTCATGCGTCTGATATTTGTACCCATCTATCCATCTAATTAGCCTTCTTCGGTCCATCTTTGGACATAGGCCTCCCCAATCCTTTTCCATTCATCTATGTCTGCCGCTACATTCATCCACCTAGAGCCCACCTGCTTCTTGATATTATCTACCCATCTCATTTGGGGCCTTCCTCTGCTTCGGTTATTTTCCCACGTTCTCCAACATATAGGAATTTTGTTCCATCGGTCTTTGGTTTTCTCTCTTATCCAATCTTTTCTCTTTTTATCCATTAGTATTATGTGCAACATTTGTCTTTCCATTGCTCTTTGGGTTTTTATGATTTTGTCCATATTTGCTTTTGTAAATGTCCACGTTTGGGAACCATAAGTGAGAACAGGGAGTATGCATTGATTGTATACTTTGGCCTTAAGATACTGTGGATATCTTTTGTTTTTAAGAATGTAGCTTAATTTGCCAAATGCCGCATTCCAGTCTAACTCGTCTTTTTATTTTTGCTGTTTTGTTTTCTTTCTGTCGAGTTAACTTTTAGACATTTCAGACAGACACCTAGGCCTATTAGGATTCTAAAAATTGAAAAAAAGCAACCACGTTTTGTGTTACACAAAGACCACTCTTTTGACATATATCTTACAGCGTAATAGTTCTCTCGAAAAATCAGGCGTGTAAGAGAAAATTGGAACCTGTTCCATTAAAGAAGCTGTATATTGAATCTCTGCCTATTAAGACTTCTAAGTTGCATGATTTATTGCACCTGACTCAATTCCTGACAAATCTTGAAGCGCATTCATTTTACCAAGGACTAGTTTCCCATGCCGGTACGAATGAGTTAGTGATGTGGAATTTGTCGACGATCCACCAATCGACATTTACCGCGCAAAGTAGATCAGAGTCCAGCTCCTTAATTAAAAATATGAAGATCTGAAGCACATATATAATTAGCAAACTATTTTTCTTTCATTTACGTGTTAACAAGTCCTATAGTAATAAACTGATAATTAAAAATGTTGTATTTAATTTTTCTAAACCAAAATAAATAACTTTAAACTTTAAAATTCGAGTTGTGCAAAATTAACAAAATGTAACAAATGAACAAATGTATGTATTAAAAATATATTTTTTAGTTTCAGGGACCATGGACAAGGAATATCTAGACAAGACTATTTAAATTTCTTCCACTTTTTAAATAATATAAACGACGTCGATACAGCTTTGACGTTCTACCATATAGCGGGTGCCTCTATTGATCAACAAACCTTAAAACATGTTGCCAAAACAGTTGCTCATGTTGATCTCAGTGATCATGTTATTCATGTTGTTTTTACTATTTTTGATGAAAATCGTAAGTATTATACTCTTAATAATAAATAGTGTTATAAAATTTTTTGTGAGAGAAACATTTAAAATTGGTGATTGATAAGAATCCCGAAAACACTTCATCATCATTCTCTTTGATTCATCCCTCTGTGGAGTTGGTTTCCCAATTACATTTCTCCAAAAATTTATATCTAGGGTGATACCAGGTTTTCTTTGGTCTTCTTGCAATGTGTTCGGTGGTTATTATTTATTTTATTTATTTATTCATTCCAACGGTAGAACCATTTACAATAAAATACAAAAAATAGTAAAAAGTAAAGATCATGTACAATAAACTCAAAACAATAACAAAGAAACAAGTAAACAGTTAAAATTTGTACATTAAAACAATATATCATATCACAAAAATTTTAAAAAAGTATCAGTATCACATAGTAAGTATCACATATCTAGATTAATAGTCAGATTCTTAAGTTGCCTTTTAAAAGCATTAATGTTTATGCAGAAAGGATCCAATAGGAGGTCATTGAAAGAGCTGAGCATTCTTGACAGGGGAAAATGACGAGCATAATCAGTCCTATGAAAAGGAATATGAAAGAGTGCAGTGTATCGAGTTCTATGCATTGTGTTTAAGTGTACATTGGCCAATAACGAGGGACAATTAATAACATTGTTCAGAATTTTACACAAAAATAACATATCAGCTCTCAACCTGCGGTTCTTCAATGTATCAATGTGAAAATGAGACATTATTATAGAATAATCTATGAAATAATTTTCAGTATTTTTTATATTAATATGGGTTTTAAAAGCTAAAGATCTTATAAACTTCCTCTGAACGCTCTCCAATCCATCAATGTATACTTGCTGAAACGGGGACCAGACAACAGAGCAGTTTTCAAGACCTGAGCGTACCAGAGAGCAATACAATAATTTAAATACAATAGGTGAGAGATCATGACTGTTGCGATAAATAAAACCAAGATTACGAAATGCTGTTTCCTTAATTTTAAGAAAATGGCTTCTAAATGTCAATGCACAATCCAATAATACACCCAAATCTCTAATCTCAGTAACTGAATCCAAGAGTACATCATTAAGAATATATCTATTAGCCATTAGATTATTTATACGACCAAATGAAATACAAGAACATTTAGTTGGATTTAAGCTTAAACCATTTTGTTTTGACCATAAACATATGTTGTTTACATCATCTTGCAGGAGATCTGCTAAGATCAGCAAATAGCAGGAAGTGTAAGTTTTTGATAGCCTTACCAATATCGTTAATGAACAAAAAACAAGGGACCACAATGAGACCCTTGTGGTACACCAGAATAACAATGAAATTCTTTTGAAATATAATTGTTAGTACGAACTTGCTGTGTACGTTCCATCAGAAAACTTTTAATCCAATTAACAATGGGGTCACCAAAGCCAGATGCATGAAGTTTGTGGACCAAAAGATTATGATTAACCTGGTCAAAGGCCTTTGAGAAATCAGTGTAAACGCTGTCAATCTGAATTTTATTCTCAAATGCACCCAACAAGTATTGTTGGTAATTGAGAAGGTTTGTTACAGTTGATTTCCCATTAGAAAAACCATGTTGTTCATCAATAATTATGTTTCTGCAAGCCCAGGTGAGATTTATCGATACCAATTTATCAAGAAGTTTCGGTATTGCTGATTGAATAGTTATACCTCTATAATTGTTAACACATTCGCGATTGCCAGATTTATAGATAGGTGTAAGAAAACTATTTTTCCAATATTGTGGAAATACAGATGACAACGATAAATTGAAGTGCTGCAAGTATACCATCAGGCCCTGAAGATTTAACGAAGAATTATTTGACGTTGAACGTGCCACTATCCATATTAAGCTGGAGTCTCTCATTTCGGCATTAATACTGTTTTCAATAAAGATGAAGCAAACCATACCAATATACTTCAATCATTCCTCTTAATAATCTCACTACATTATAAAGATTATTACTTTTTATATGATGGCACATCCATAACCTCGAACAGTTTAGGAGCTGCCATTATAGATTCGGATCGACATTGCAAATTCAAATTATCACCATTCAATACTAGCCACACGGCCAAGATTTATGCTATCCTACAAGCACTGATAATTATAAAGAAGATTAACTGCATTTATCATTGACTCTTTAAGCTCCATTGTGACAATTCAGCAGCTGTATCCAAAACATTCAATTGGTTCCTTTGTGAAACCTGAATTAGATATTATAAACCAATAAAACACTGACATTGTAATACTCTGGGTCCCATCGCATGTAGATATTGGAGGAAACTAAGAAGCAGTTTCTTGAGTTGTCAATAGTAGTGAGTGAAGTGGTTGCTAGTGACAATAAAACAGTAATTAAATCCAAAATCCAGTCTAAGTGGCAATGTGAATGGGATAACTGCCAATCGAAATTAAAATAAATTAAACCATCTATAGAAACGTGAGGGAAACAAAAGGCAAGTTGGGGAACTGAAGAAATTAGAATTGACCGATTACGTTTAAGTCATACAGGAATAACACACGCATAATTATTTGACGAAAGAATTCAACCGGTATGTGAAAAATTGAAGATGTAAAATATAAATAAATTAAACAAAAAGAGAAATCATACGATTTCTACCTGGCGAAATCAAATTCAAATTTTTACCACTGTGCTTTCTAAAACTTGCAAAGCAAACATCTTGATCAATTACTCGGCAAGGGAATCTAAAATTGCATTCCACATACCGTTCATCATGGTCAAAATTTGTAGTGAATTCAATTTCTGGTACTCCAAACGGAGTAAAGAAATAAAACATAAGGACGGTACTAGATTTTTGTTTCTGTACAGAGCAGCGGCAAGCCGCTTGTACATATTTCGACCTCTTTAGGTCTCCTGAGACCGGTATAGCCATAGGCTATACTCGTAAATGGCGTTTAAATTATCATCAATCGGAGGTTTGTATTTTCCTATGCTATACGTTGTGAAAGACCAAGAGGCAATAAAAATAAAAACAGAAAAAATAGAACAGGTAAATGAGTATATCTATCTAGGACAAGCAATCAGAGCTAATAGAGAAAATCAAACAGCCGAAATATGGAGACGAGTAAGAATGGGATGGGCAGCGTTCGGCAAACTTTCTTACGTTCTAAAAAATCAAACAATCCCTCTGTACTTACGAAGCAAGGTATATAACTCCTGTATCATACCGGTGCTCACCTACGGAGCACAGACATGGACATTTACACAGGCCAATTTGGATAGGATAAGGAAGGCACAAAGAGCGATGGAGAGACAAATGTTGGGTGTATCACTTAAGCTGGATTTATAGTTTGACGGACTGTAGACGCAGACGCACTGGAAAAAGATCAACATAGACTGTTGTGTACTCTTATTTATAAATGAACGTAAACGCAAGACGGGACGTAAGCGAAACGCACTGTAACGGAAGAGTTGGTCAACTTTCATCTTTTACAGTGCGTTACTTGCGTCTGGCCAATCAAAAGGAAGAATTTTGTGCTGTCAACCAAAGTCAACTGTCTGGCCCGCCCACAATTTTGTAAAGTTGCTTATCAACATATTCGAATTTTTATTTTGTTGATTATTTGTTACAATGGACGTTAAGAATTTATAAAATAATTATAAATAATAAAATGATATTATAGTATCATGGTCACCAACTCTAGTCGCTGTTTCTACTCATGACCAAAAATTCCACTCCGTCGATTTATAAATTGAAATAATACGTACAGTCCGTTTGTTACGTCTCCAGTGCGTCTACGTCTACAGTGCGTCAAACTATAAATCCAGCTTTAGAGATAGAAAACGTAACCAGTGGATCAGAACCAGAACAAAGACAGTAGACGCGATAGAACAAGCAGCAAACCTGAAATGGAAATGGACTGGACACAATGAACGTCTCCAAGACGGACGATGGAACAATGCCATCGGAAAGTGGCGTCCATACAATGCAAAGAGATCAAGAGGCAGACCACAGATGAGGTGGAAAGATGACATCAGGAAACAAGGAGGTCCCACATGGCAGAGAACAGCTCAAGATAGGGAAAGATGGAGAGAACTGGGGGAGACCTATATCCAACAATGGAAGGATAGAGAATAGGTTCAAAAAAAAAATACGTTGTGGTATCGGTGATGCATCTTTATCGTTCGACATTTCTTCCAATACTAATTTCGTCGAAGTTGAAACAGAACAGCTGTGTACAGTGTTTTCAGTTGATTTAATATTAATATTTGCTTCAAAAATACTAACAAAAGATTATAATAGTATATCTGCCCACGATTATGACCTATGCGATAAGAAAAACATTTATCGCCGACTTTGTAAGTGCATTGAATCAAAAAGACCTATTATTTAAAATATATATTTAAAAATAAATCACTTGATGTTCGTAATACAGATATGAAGAAGGCGAAGAAAGCACTAAACGGCAGCCAATTAAAATATTTGTAACCCTATATGACTATAGTTAGTTGTTTACTGGCGCTATTATCGCTTGTCGTTGGATATATAGTATAGATCAAGTATAGGTCACATTCTTCGAGATAGCCAGTATCGTCTCTTACAACGAATAATAAAAGACAAGATAGAAGGACGAAGATGAGTTGATAGAAAAAAGCACCACGATTGAAGAACATTTGGATAAATATCCGCATTCTCGACCAACCCTTTAAAATTGCGCAGGATCGAGAAAAATGAATTCGGGTACGGATAAGGTAGGTACATACAGAAGAAGTTTCATGTTATGTCTTGTATGTCTTGTTCCTTACCGTGACATTATTATGGTTATCATCTGAACTAGCGTTAATACTTTACTCTTATCATCATTGTCGTACTCTAAAACCACTGTAGTAAAATATTTTCGACACCTTTACCATTTAGGTTGGGTTAGGGTAGGTCATCGAACTTCTTCGGTTATTTTTCACTTGCTGTTTTTATTGTGTGGTCATACAATATTACAAATTTTTAATATTTTTATTTTATTTATTTTATTTTTAATACATTTAAATTTAATGGAAAATTAAATTTTTTTCTTTGTTTGTTTTCAGAGGACGGTCAACTGAGTAACAAGGAATTTATAGCTGTTATGAAGAATAGATTATTAAGAGGACTAGAAAAACCCAAAGATACTGGATTTGTTAAATTTATGCAATCTATTTTAAAATGTGCTAAAGAAACTAAACCTGCTCTTTTAGATATTTAATTTAAAATTTTAAAATAATGTTGGCTTCTTAATATATTAATAAAATTTTAAAAATCAAATGTTTATTTAATTTTACTCGTATCATTTGATAAATCACAAAAACTATAATATTATCACAATATTTTCGCGTCTAGCAGAGGGATTACCGTCCTGTTTTGAATTTTGGTGGCTAAATACACAATATACAAAAAATAAATCTTACTTTTACGTAATAAAAATGTAAAATTAATAAATCCTTATATGTATATCTTCTTATGTGGCTTATGTTTTAAAATAAATTGACATTTTGTGAGTCAAAAGCAGATTTTACTGAGGCTAACTTAAGTAGAACACGTCTCATTCTCATGGCTTTAGATTTTCTACTATCTTATCACTATTATTATCTTACTGTTATCGTATCTCTCACATCTACGATTTGCGGACGACATTGTTTTGATAACAGATGACAAAAGAGATTGGAACTTTGCATACTGAGTTAGATGCCGCCTGTAACGAAGTTGGTTTGAATATACATTTTGGATATACACATCACAAATCTGGTATAAAGCGAAAGTCCAAAAGTCTACTGCAACGAAATAGGATTAGTTCATAAATATAAATACTTAGTAGATACTATTTTTCCGAAGTGGAAATTGAAACGTTAATAAACTTATTTTAACCTTCAATTGTGCTTATTCCCATTAAAATAGTATCTACTTTACAATGATACAAGAAAATAGCTTCAGAACAATATTAATAAATACTTAGATCGTGAAATCCAAATTACTAGGGACAACCGAACTGAAAAGAATGGGCCGCTTATGGAACTCTATCAGACATCTTCAAGAGCAACGTGCCAAATTATTTGAAAAAGAAGACGTTTAACTAATGTATGCTTCTAGTCATGACTTATGAGCCAAACTCAGAGTAGCCCAAAGACGAATGAAACGCTCACTACTTGGACTGACTCTCAGAGCCAGAGTTAGAAACGAAGAAACAAAGGACAGATGTCATAGAGCGTATAGCAGGGCTGAAGTAGAACTAAAATTCAAAAAAATTGAGTTTGGAGGACACTAGCTGATAGAAGAAGCAGAGGTAGGAAGCACAAGATCGACTGTACTGGAAGAAATTAGGAGAGGCCTTCTTCTTCTTCGTCTAGCCATTCACGTCCACATTTGAACATAAGCCTCTTCCAGTCTTCCTTTCCATTGTTTTTTATTATACGCTACTTGTAGCCAATAGGAGAGGCCTATGCACAACTTAAGACGCAGAAGGCTGTATAATGATGATGCTTATCTTACTGTTAGTTTAACAGCTTAGTGTGTGTTATACATTTAGTTAAGAAAATATCATGTTTTATATGATTTTTGCATGCAAAATACATGGACATTAATTTTAAAAATGATATTTGGCAAGAAAGCAATTTTTCAACATCCTAAAATATTGATGAAATTTTACATCATCACGAAGCAGTTCTTTATACAGTGTCACGTATTCTCCTTCGCTATCCCTTTTTTCCATACATCATGGATCCATTTCCGTCTATTTACTTGGTTTTCTTGCGCTTCTTCTTCCTCGTCCAAACATAAAGCAATTATTGCTAATTCTTCATCAGATAAACTTTCCATCTTTTCAACAGATTGGTCGCCAAAGACTGATGGATTTCGGGTGTGTGCGAATAGACTAACGAATAGTTCTGTGACCAGACGGGACCGGTTCGGCGCCGGGATTGTGGCGGGACTGATGGGTTTGAATCGACCTTTAACCGGAACGTTTAATTTCTAAAATCTTTAAAATCTAATTTAGTTACCGATGCACATCATCCGCGTCATAGCCCATGACGTCACATGATACCAACACGAAATATTTAGGCAATAGGTCTGTTCTTTTTTAGAATCATTTGCCGAGTACACTGGCATTACAGCCACTAGACTTCTTCTTCTTCTTAAGGTTCCATCTTCTAACGAAGGTTGGATATCAACATGGCAATTCTTACTTTACTTACAGCAGCTCTAAATAGTTGGCTAGAGCTCAGACCAAACCACTCCCTTAGATTTCGTAGCCAGGAGGTTCGTCTTCTTCCTACATCTCTTTTACCTTTTATTTTGCCCTCTATAATCAAACGTAGTAGCCCATAACGAGGACCTCTTAATATATGACCGAAATATTCAAGTTTCCGCCTCTTAATTGTCTGTACAATTTCTTCCCTCTTATTAACCCTATCAAGGACTTCAATATTGGTAACCTTGTCTACCCATGCTATTCGTAACATCCTTCGATAACACCAACGCTCAAAAGCTTCCAATTTCTTAATCTCCAGTTGTTTCAAAGTCCATGCCTCAGATCCGTAGAGCAAGGTTGTAAAAATGTAGCAGCGCAATAACCTTATCCTTAGATCCATTCTTAGGTCTCTACTACACAATAGATGTTTCATTTTTACAAATTTTGCCCTTGCTATTTCTATACGGCTTTTAATCTCTTGCGTTTGTTCTGCGTTTTGACTAACCAATGTTCCTAGATATTTGTATTTATCTACCCTTTCTATCTGGATATTATTAATATGGAGTGTCTCGTTGTCTTTTGGATGTTTTGTAATGACCATGAATTTTGTTTTCTTTAAGTTCATTTTAATACCATATATGGTACACTTTTCATTCAGCCGTTCCAGTATGTTTGATAGACTTTGCAGAGCCACTAGACATATGTTATTATATACGCGTAGAAATAATATTTAAAAATTTTTATTAATGTTAACTTAAAGAAATACACAATAATATGTTTCATTTAATTTGTATAACTGCATTATAAAGCGTTTTTATGAAGAACATTTGTTCGGAACACACTGTAACTGTAATCGAACGGAGGTGAAATTTTAGCATAAATTGGTAACACTTATCTGACAGTTGCGGTGTTGACACTTTTTGTACTTCATTATTTTGAATTTTAAAGTGAATACCTCTTGTTTAATATTTTTACCTATTTAATAAAATCTGTTCTTTTTAGAAGAAAATTAGTGTGTTTTATTTTAAAAATGTCACGTAAGAATTTAAATAGTCGTTGTAAAGAGATGGTAATACTTTTGCAATAATTATGTGATCTATTTGATTTAAAATGGAGTCAGGATTTTTTTATACTTTGGCAGCTATGTCAACTTCGATCTCTGACGTAGATAATGACGTGCATCGATATGTAAATTAGATGAACTGTATGTTGGTCAACCAAACAAAATTCTTCCTTTTGTTTGGCCAGACGCAAGTAATGCGCCGTAAAAGATGAAAGTTGGCCAACTCTTCCGTTCCAGTCCGTTTCCAGTCGTGCATTTACGTTCATTTATAAATAAGAGTACACAAAATTATATGTCGATCTTTTTCCACTGCGTCTATGTTTACAGTCCATCAAACTATAAATCCAGCTTTATTGTCTGCAAGCTACAAGCCTCTTTGTGCTTAAAATTAGTCTGTGAGGTCATAGATAAATAATATAGTATATACAGGCTCTGAGGTCGTCTGAACGCGCCCATTTTTTATGTACTATGGCCATAAACACATAGACAGTAATCTGAAGAGCAAAATTACACCGAACAAAGTTCCCTGAAAACTGAAAATGACTCGTAGTTCTCTGATGACGACAACACATTTTTTTGTTGCTCATTGTGTCTCTGTCTTACATCATCATCATTTATTCATCAATCATTTTTGGTGGGAAGAAACCTTGTCTTTTTGCTCGATGGAAGAAACTGAGAGAATCTTAATTGCAGTTCGATACGCTAGAGAGAGACAGATGAAGCAAACACAAAAGTTGACACAGCTCCTTGCTTACACCACCTTACCACAGAATTATAAACAATTACACCCTCAACGTCTATTTGTCATATCCTGTGGAAGCAACCAAATCACAGAATAAAATACATTTTTTATTTTGTAACCAAATTTACAGCATTCCCCACTCTTGTTTGTATTTCACATCGAGCAATAAGACAAAAGAGGGAATCTAATCGTTATAAAAAGGAGACCAAAAAAGTGGCCTCTGATGGCGGACACATCCGGAAATGCAAAGGCGCTAAATTTAAATTTTCCAACATTTGTTAACAATAGCTATAAAATATTTTTCAGACTAGAAAGTTTTAATTAAATATTAACGATAATAGTCTAAAAAGTGACATAATTGGTAAAAAACTTCAATATAAATAAAATTTCATGTGACAGTTGGAACAAACAATAACATAACCAAACTAAATTTGACTTCTTAAACAAGGAAAGAGACTGTCTATCCTTGTCTAAAGTGGCCTCTCAAGATGGCACTTCCTGTCTATCAATATGTTTACCCCTTCTACCTTTACATTCCCTCTTTTGTCTTATTGCTCGATGGTATTTCACGTTCTGTGGGTTTATGGGGTTATAACTAAACTAAGTTGTCGTGTGTCATCGTCATCTGTCCTGACATCTGTCATCTAATATTTTATTTCGACCAAAGACCATTTACACCAATAGACGTTTCACGCAGATGACCAAGGTCAAATATAAAATTGTATTACCGATATCCATCAATAGATGTCGCGATAATGAAGTATTTTCAGAGAACAGTAACAATCACCGTAACAATTGTTCTATGGTATCTGTTTGATGACAGAGTCGAAATGTTTGTTAGTGTTCTATGACTTATGTTTATGTTACCCAGTTTACGTTTGTTTACGTTCTCCATTTTATATTGTTTTTTAATCTAATTTGGTGTTTATTCTTCCTTATATCCGTATTATTCTTATTTATAGTTTGTATTTTTAGTGTTAATTAGTTATTTAGTGTGTTAATTAGTTGTTTAGTGTGTATATTTGAGACTATTATTTAACCAATTATTTTTATTGTCGATCAACTTGTTGGTGGTAAGTTAATAAAACGATTGGTTCTTGGATTGTATTTATCCTAATTAAAAATCTTCTATAGTCTTAAAATTTTTCTTTATTTTTCCTCCTTTAAAAAAAGATAATTTCATCCCTGTGCCTTTTATTATAGTTTTGATAACTGTTTAGTAGACAGGCTCCTATCCGATTTTTATGAAATTTGGCATATTTACATATTTTGGGTTATAAATCACGAATATTTTTTATGGGAAATATATAGTTTTTGAGTCAGTCTTTTTTCGGGCTCTATTATCTATCTCTCACATTAACGGCGTCAGGTATTATTTGTTTCAACACATTATATAATATATATATACTTTCTTCTTTTAATTCTTCATACTACTTTATAAAAAATGGTTATAAGTCTTTTATTCTTTTTTATTTCAATAAAACTACTGAACTTCACAATGTTGTTTGTGACATCGCATTTAAAAATTAGCATGGCTTTCGTCAACAAACATTGCCGTTTTAATACACTATCTCTAAATTGATTAAATATAAAAATAAAATAAACCATCTATAAGTTTTTGTAAGGCAGTCCTTAAAAGAAGGAAGTATGTTATACACAGCGTGTTTAAAGAAGCACTTGACGCAATTAAAGTGAAAGATACTACGAAAATACACTAACTCAAAAACTATCCATTTCCCCCAAAAATGTTTTATATTTATGTTCGTGATCTGCAGCTAAAAATACGCAAATATACCAAATTTCATGAAAATCGGAGATCATCTACTAAATCTGTATAAAAGTTTTAAATTTCCCGCTTTATTTACAATTTAAATTTCGCGGTTTAATATTTGAAATTCCCCGTTTAGAATTTCGTTTAAATTCCCCGCCATTAGAAATAGTTCAGATATCCATCCCCAGGTGGCGCAAAATTTGGATAGAACTAAAGCATTGTCGTGAACCGTCTATGGAGTAGATGGTCTTTGATTTCGACATCAACAACTTTCAGGTCAACTGTTTAGTTCAAGAAAGAAATTGATTGAAATAATTACTATCATTGTGCAACAATGGGAAAGAAAAAAGGTAAGATTTGTGTTGAAATTTGTTAGTTATCAGTTAAATATAAGTTTGTACAAATACACATTTTACACTCCATTAGTCGCTCCTCAAAAAATCATGGCTGTTCATTGTGGATTAGATTCCAATGGAGGGGAAATGAATGATTTTGGAAAATTATAGTGCATTTTTAATTAATAGATGCAAAGAGATTACAGAAACTACTTTTTATGTTTTGATTGTGTCTTTTATTAGAAGAATCTTTAATCTTTTAACGATATTCTTATAATATGTAGTGTTAGGGGTTTCACAGGCATCCATTACACAAAAAGGTGTAATTCCCAAATGTACTTTTATGACGTTGTTATTATTCCTATCCCAAGCGGTCGCAGAAAAGATTGAGGAATAATTTTCATTCTCTTTTGAGTTTCCAAAATTGTTCCAAAAAATGTTGAATTTTGCATAAAATAGCACTCACTATCTGGCATGTTGCACCTTTTTGTTCTTTGTTTGCATAAAAACACACCTCATTAATATTATCTCATCAAGTTTATGACACACATTTCCCCCTTTTCCTCTTATGGCTTGTTTTGCTGACAATAGGGAGGAAATCTTGTTTGTTTTTATTCTTGTACACATGCTTGCAAAAAGTTCATTTTTGCCCGCTTCTTTAGAATCTAGGACGTAGTATATCTACAAAGTCATCCAAGTAATGCACAGGAGTATTTCAACATTAATTTTAAATATAGTACTTGTGAAGTATATTCCACATTAATATACAAAAATTAACAGTATTAAATGTGTAATAAAGGTAGTCAGTAGGGAAGAATTTATTTTTTTTTTAATGTATGACCCATAATTAAACTTAATGTTGTGTATATAAAAGTTAAATGAAGTAGGTAGATAGATAGATAGAATTTATTCATCCACAAAGTTTATACAATTCTTACAAAAAAAAAAGTATAAACCTTATGGGACTAGTCAAAATTTTAGTACAAAAGAGTACAATATATAGCAAAAGTACACATGATTAAAATTAAACAGTGATTACGGGCATTTCGCAATTGCGGGCACTCTAACCTAACCAAGTATTTATATGACATTTAATGTTCGCTTAAATGGTGTCAGAGTTGCCAAGTCTCCAGTTTTTTCATACTGTCACATAATATTATACAAATGTTGATTAAAGTGATATATAAAAAATTAATAGTATAGATTTTAGTTAAATTAAAGATAATAATCAAATGCATATACAATAAAATTGATTAAAATTATATAAAAAATTAATAGTAATAATTAAATTACCGTATATAATAGAAATGCATTGAAATTATATAAAAATTCAAAGATTTTACAAAATATTTGTTTTATAAGAAACAAACTTTTTTTTTATAAGAAATTTGTTTTATAAACAAAGAAAATATTTGTTTTATACTTATTTAAATCTTGTAGCTTCTCATAATACAAATTATAATTTCGTAAAAGTAACTTATATTTTAAACCTTCATATACATTTTACAAAAAAAATACGGCAAGTTTTATACTTATTTAAAATTTGTAGCTTCTCATAACACAAATTATTATTTCGTAAAAGTAAATTTATATTTGTAGCATTCATATACATATTTTACTAAAATAAATACGGCAACACTGTGACGCAGTGCCTTGACATGTGCCTTGAGGAAAATATATTTGGTTAGGTTAGAGTGCCCGCAATTGCGAAATGCCCGTGATTACAATAAAATAAGAAATAAAAGTTACAAATACAAATTTAGAACTATTGTTGCAACAATGTTAAAAAATTTAAAATTTATTAACACTGTAGAATGTGTTGTCTATTAAAAATGAATACAGTTTGGTGAAAACCTTTATGCGAAGAATTACTGAGAGTTAATATATTGACTATTTTATTGTAACATGATATTCCAATATATTCAGGTGCATGTTGGAATACACCTAATCTAGAGAAAGGTTGTCAAAAATTTGATTTACCCCTAGTATCATGTGAGTGAATGTCCTCATTTCTGTCAAACTTGAGCTTGTTTTCCTCAATGTACAATATTAATTGGAAAAGTAAAAGGCTAGGTAGTGTTAAAATATTAGACTTCTTAAATGCAATGGCTCGCAACTGTCTGAAAATGGAACACCATACATACTTCTTAAAACTTTCTTTTGAGCTATAAATGCCTGTTCAAAATGAGATGAGCAACCCCAAAATATTAAGCCATACTGAAGTACAGACTGGACTAAACTAAAGTAAATCATTCGCAATATATCAAATGAGACAGTTTGTCTTAAATTAAGCATTATATAGCTACCTGTACTTAACTTTGCTGATATATGATTTACGTGAGTTTCCCATGTAAGTTTATGATCTAGGGTTACCCCCAAAAATTTCGTTGTAGTATAACTTTCTACTGATTTGCCATCCACATGTAAAAAAAAAGAACCGCAAAAAATGTGTTTTTGTTACATTGAGCTTGAGTCCATTATTTTTACAGTATGTGCTAAATTCAACAGACACGACATTGGTTTTTTTCCACCAGTTGTATGGGTTCACTGTGAGACATGAGAATATTGGTATCATCAACATACTCAACAATTTTATCTGGCATTGAACAAAATGTGTTTAGGTCACTTACAAATATAATGAAAAATAAAGGCCCAAGTATGAAAAATAAAGCCTTCAGGTACACCCATCATACTTTGAAGTGGCATCGGCATTACATTTTCCACTGTGACTACTTGAGTTCTATTACTTAGATAAGATAGGGCCCAATTGTATGGTATACCAAGTACTCCTATACCCTGCAATTTTTGTAGTAAGAGTTCAAGATCAACCATTTCAAATGCACTACTAAAGTAATAAAAAAGACCTAACACATTTAATTTATCATTTAATGCTTTATAAATTAATTGAAGACAGTCAGAAATAGCAGTATTTGTAGATTTCTTTTTTCTAAACCCGTTTTGAATAACAGGAAGAATTTTAAAATGTTCTAAATAATCTGTTAATCTATTGTGTTGTAGACCATTGATACAGATACAGATCAATATCCGTTGCAGATCCCTTATTTTCAAAAATAGGGATTCCTTTCAATTCCTTTATATCTGGAAATATTCTGCATGTAAATGATTCATTTATGAGATAAGATAGTGCTAAAGCTATATAAGTGGCCACATGTTTCAAAGCTTTTCCATCAATTTCATCTACTCATGCAGCTGTTTTAGAAGCAGTTTTTAATACAATAGATATAACTTTTTTTTCAGTGGTTGGTGATAAAAAAAACTTGAATTGAATTAGTCAATTTGTGTGGTACAGTTAACAACTGATAGTTCATTATTTCTTACAGCATTAATAAAATAATTGTTGATTTGATCAGCTTTATGATAATTTTGTAAGTCACTGTTGTTACTAAAAGATATTAAATTTTGATTTGATTGACAGTTTTTACCTCTATATATTGTATTGTTCCGAATACTCTGGGTTATTGAGTTGTTTTCTTAATCCATTAATCTGACACAATTGATCATGAAAAACCCTTATTATGAGGTGCAAACCACGTTTTTTTGTTTTGGTCTGGTTACTCTACGTTTTAAGTAGTATTATAATAATATAAGAAAGTATCATAAAATATTGAAAATTTTTCTTCAAAACTAGTAGCCACATATAAATCCCTCCAATCAATATTAACTAAAATATTTTGGAAAGTTATTAAGTTGGCATTGCATAAGTTTCTGGTAAAAACAATTTGAGGATTTTTTCCAGTAACTTTCATATCAAAAGCACATAATTGATAAGTATGATCTGATAGAAATGTGTCACATACACTAACGTTTTGAACATCTAAATTGGAAAAAAAGTTATCAATACATGTTGAAGCATTTTTAGTAATTCTAGTAGGTATATTTATGTGAAATTTAATGTTGTATTCTAAAGTTTATTAAAATATTTTTCTGATTGCTATTTTCTAAAAAATTGATATTAAAATCTCCACATATAACATAAAAATCATTATTGTTATAAATACTCTGCAACAATAGTTCTAACTTCGTAATAAAAGTATTAAAATTCACACTACAAGGAGGTCTGTATATAGTTATAATAAATAAATATTTTTTACTTCCATGAACTTTAAATTTTACTCCAGATATTTCAACTTTACTTTCAATACACCATTGACGTAAAGTTAGCTGTTCACAACTATACACCTCCACTTTCTTTACCATTTCTTGTGAAATAAGACACTAAATTAAAGTTTTCAATATTGGTTACTTTAAGTTATCTTCTTTCAACCAGTGTTCGCTAAGGCATAAAACATTCACATTATTGTTGGTCAAGTCAAATCTTGGCCAAGTCGACAGTTTATAGATTTCGTCTTTTAATTCGAAGTTGACACCACACATAAAACATTTGTTTTGGTTTTCGTTGGTTGGTAGTTCTCTAATAATAATATCAGCCTCTTTAAACACTTCCTGATCTTTTAGACAATCAAAGATAGTTTCTGTTGTGACACTTCGTTTCTAGAAAGGTAAAGCCAAGCATTTCTTTGAACTCCTAAGTTGGTTGTTTGTCTAGTTTTCTTCTTTGAGTGAACTAACGTAAAACCATCATTGTCTTGTCCCATATCTTCATTTATATTTACTAAAGTTTGCATTTTATTTAGCTGTGCATTTCTAAGTTCTGCAGATGTTGAATTATTATCAAGGTTTCTACTACTTTCGGCAACAGTTGGCAACACCAGTGTTTGGAATTTATTTGTAATTTTATAATTTGGAGTTAATTGTTTGATATGACTAAGGTGTTTTTTGTTTGACTCATTTAAAACTGGTTGTTCCAGTTTAAAACAGGTTCTCCAGTTTAAAACAGGTTCAGTTTTTGCTTCCATTTGGCTTATCTTTTCTTGTAGATATCCATTGTTTTGTTTTAAAAGAGAATTATTTTCTAGTAGTAAATTAAATTTTTCCTCTTTTTCTTTTATACTATTTTTAAGTAGCTCATTTTCTTTGTATAAATCGCGTTTACCTTGGAAATTCTCCTCAACGTCTTTAGATTTCTCGTTTGTTTCACAGCAAATTATTCATGTGTCACAAATTTTGATGCACTGAAGATTACTTCTGGTTGCACATGTCAAATGAAAAACATTTCCACACTGTACACAAACTAAGATTTTAGTAGCTTTACTTTGACAGCACTTAAAGTGTTGCTTATTCAAGTTTTTGTGATAATTAGTGTTTATTAATAGACTTTGTGAATAGTATCTGAAAGTTAAGAGGAATGGTGTTGCCATTTTTTAAATACAATTATTGTTTTGAGCTGGTAATTTACATTTTTGGTATTATTATTTAATATGGAAAATTGTGATAAATTTAAAAAATGTGATGGAAATGTGTGACAGCTGCAGGTTACTACTATGCACTTAGTGTGTTAACCTGATGGGAACCTGGAATTCTGATTTTGCAAAATTGAAAGAAAGTGTTGGTATTTTTTTGAGTTACGTTGCCTTTGAAGTCCAGAAATAATCCCTTTTATAATACCAATACATTTTGAACCTCTATATAAGGGGTTTTCTTTTATCCCACTTTAAAGTTTAAAAAGATCAGAAGGATTTGAAGTATATGTATAAAATATTCACTGCTACTGTTTATTGTCCTAAATAAGTTGTTTGTAGTAAAAATGTTAGTTTCCATAATTTCTACTTTCCATGGGTTTAGCAAGGTTTTTACTGCCGGCAAGGCAAGCAAGAGTTGAGATCAGCACTGATAGTTACAGAGCTACTCAATTCGCCCCGCAACTACCAGAGACGGAGTTGGCAACTACCACAGCTGTATGAAGAGTTGAAAACACTCGAGAGGATAGCATTGCTAAAGCAAGGGACAAGTCATCAAAGGACTTGACCCACTTACGGCAGATTAACAAGTACGCATGGAAGAGTGTTGAGAAAGCAAAGATGGTATGAGTACTTTAGTAAGTTGCTAAATGAAGAACACGAGACGAAAAACAGAGGATGCGGGATCTAAAAGTAGAATGTAATACCAGGGATAGCAAGAGATAAAGTTGTTGAGGTAAATAGGACAACAAACGGTAAAGCAGTAGGACCTGATGGAATAACTGTAGAGGTTTGGAAGGCTCTAGGAGAGGAAGGGGTTGATATTTTGTGGCAAATAATGAGTAGAATATACGAGGAAGAAATGATACCTAATGCTTGGAGATAGTGTGATGGTATCATCGTATAAAAATACAGGGGACATTCACGGCTGTAAGATTTATAGAGGGATAAAGTTAATGTTGAATACAATGATAATCTGGGAGAGAACTGCAGAGCAAAGGTTACGGAGAGAGACATTGATAGAAGAACAGTTTCAGTTTATGCTAGGAAGGAGGACAATGGATGTCTTGTTTGCATTGAGACAGTTGATAGAGAAATACAGCTAAAAGAAAAGAGAGCTATATTTGATATTTATAGATCTTGAGAAGACATATGACACACTTACTATACAAGAGCTATGGAGATGTATGAGGAGTGTACATGTATATGTGAGTAAAGACTGATTGACCGAAAGTTTTCCAGTGATGATTGGTTTGCATCAAGGCTCTTCACTGAGTTCTTACCTGTTTAATCTTGTTGTGGATCTACTGATAGACAAAGTAAGTTAGGTTCTTCAATCCTTGGTCAATGCTCTTTAGCATGGAGGACTTAAGGTTAGGAGATCAAAAACGGAGGAAGAATTTGGTTGGGAGGAAGAGGAATAGTTGGGGAACTAGAATTGCTTGGAGTAACGCTAGGACGAGTAGGAGAATTTAAATACCTTGCCTCCTACACAACGAAAAATGAGAAACTAGATTGAGAAATTGCTCACAGGATACAGGATGTTTGGTTTAACTGGATTTAGATTTCACTATGTAGTTATTTAATTCCCCTAAAATAATTCAGTCTTAACTTGGAATTATAAATCTCTTTCCTAACAGTTTTTGTGCTTCTCGCTCAACTAATTTCTTTGACAAACTTTTCTATATAATCCTCCCTAATCATCAGTAACATTTTCTCTTGAATATGAAAATTTATAATAAATTTCACTTGCCAGCTCCATCCATTTTCAGTTTGAATATCTTTTGCTTGACAACCCTTTCTTTATTCACCCAAAAATTAATATGTATCTTACTTTTATAATAAACCATTCATTGTATATATTGATAAATACACAATTTAAATACAAAAAGTGTTAATGATAGTAATATTTCATTATTTTTATACTTTTATGAAAACTGTAATTTTCAGGAAAGGGGAAGAAGCAAGAGGATGGAGGGTCACAGTCTTCCAGTTCACAATTAGAATTACAAGCTGGGTCAAGTCAGCAGCCCAAACCATCTGAAGTTCAGCCTCAACCCACAAAACCAGAACCTCAATCCCAACAAGGAGGTAAAAAGAAGCAGCCAAAGCAACCTCAAGTAAGTTTTCACTAAAAACATTAAAAACTGTGATACCTTAAATAAATAATTAAAATATATTTTATTATGACTTCTTCGTATATCCCTATGCACATTAGAGGTGTTAGATTTCGCTACTTTAGCTCTTAATATATTTTCCCTCGAAAGTTCTATGATCCTTCACAAAACATTTCATTTCTTCTAAAATGTTATTCGTTTTGCTCCTAGTTCTTTTATTCTATTTTCCCTTTGTATTTCTATTTTTCCCTGACTTTCTTTAATCTATACTTTTATCTTTTACTGTTTTCTTTAATAGGAAAAAGTACTAGTCATCTCTGTCTCATCGAGTACCTTTCTTGGTGGTACACAATGAGTCAAGTGGTATTATTTAATATTTTGTTAATACATAGAGTGTAGTTTTTATTATTGAAAATAGCAATTTTACAGATAAAATAAAAAAAAACTAAAATGAAAGAAAATTTTAACGGATCTTAAAACTGTCAACCTTTACATCAAATTTGAAATAAGATGCAAGGCGCTTGTCTTGTTGATCTACATTTTTTGGTTTTGGTAAAATTGATACGTCTGACCTTGCTACTGCAGCAATGTCTTTAACTGAAGGAAAAATAAAGTTGCCTTGAAGTTTACCACTTTTTCACTTTATTATTTTCACTTTTTCTTTTATTATTCATTATCGTTTAATGTCTTGAGAACTTTACCAACATAAAATATATTGTTTTTAAATTTTACTAATACAAAACTATCAATGGAAATTTCTTTACTAGCATCAATGCTATAATCGCCTTCCAACTGTAAATGTTCACATTCATCCCCAGAAGAATCATCATAATTGATTAGTTCTTCACTCTCCTCAAATTGTAATTGTAATGTTTATTTACGGACTTGTCATTTTTTTACAAATCAACTTAAATTAAGCTTAAACTATTAAGTCATTACTATTAAATTTATTTGCATTTCTACACATTCTCTGTAAGGGTTTATTAACAGTATAAGTTCGATTATGAAATTCTAAATAAAATCAGTCTTGGGATCTGGTGTCTCTACAGGTAGTACGGAAGTAAATTTTTTCCAAAAAAGCACTAGCATCAATGCCTCCTCATATTAATTTATATATAAATGCTACATCTAGCAATATTCGCCTTTCTTCAAGAGTAGGCAATTTAAGTAAAGGTTGCAAAACAATGTATTCAATTACATTCACAGGTATTCTCAATATTTCTGCATCGCCGTCTTCCATTATTAAGTATTTTCTTTTTCTGTCAACTGTGTTTATATTTCGTTGTAAAAGTTTTCCATATATCTATATCATAAAAATTTGATAAGATTTTGGAACAGTGTTATAGATTTTTAAGCAAGTATAAAAACTCTGTCTGTTGGTATAAACATTGGCTCTCCTTTTTTTATTTGACGCTTCTCTCTTCATCTTACTGCAATTTAAAAGAATTATGACTAGAAAAGACGAGAAAAGATCGCAGGTCGAATATACGCCTCATATAAATAGAGTTGAGCTTCCCTGCTTAATATCGAAATTTAAGGCAGCTTGCTTATCGCGCCGAGATAACTTTATAGATTCACCCTAGTTTTGACAGCAAAGGAGTCCACTTGGGGAATTGGTTATTAATATATTCTATATCTATTCTTCACTTATAGTTTCTAATTATTGTTTGTTATGTTCGATTTTATCAGCAACAGCAAGCTACACAGCAGCAAGGAGACCCTTCAACACAAACTGCTCAACAACCTGCGTGGGGCAGACAACAAAGTACACCACAGCAAGCTCAAGGTCGGGGTCAACCACAGGTGCCACAGCAACAACCTGGAGCGAGACAACAGCAGCCTTCTCCTCCACAACAACAACAACCTCAAGGTCGGGGTCAACCACAGGTGCCACAGCAACAGCCTGCAACTAGGCCACAGCAACAACCTGGAGCGAGACAACAGCAGCCTTCTCCTCCACAACAACAACAACCTCAAGGTCGGGGTCAACCACAGGTGCCACAGCAACAGCCTGCAACTAGGCCACAGCAACAACCTGGAGCGAGACAACAGCAGCCTTCTCCTCCACAACAACAACAACCTCAAGGTTGGGGGCAACCACAGGTGCCACAGCAACAACCTGCAACTAGGCCACAACAGTCCATTCCTCCACAGCAACAATCTGGAGCGAGACAACAACAGCCTTCTACACAACAACAACCAGCTTGGGGTAGACAAACAGGTCCACAACAAACTGGTCCTCCACAACAAACCGCTCCCCCACAGCAAACTGCTCCCCCACAGCAAACTGCTCCCCCACAGCAAACTGGTTCCGCACAACAAATGCCTCAGCAAGGGCAACAAAAAGGTGCTCAACAACAGCAAATGGGTCGAAAGGGACGTCAGCAGCAGGGTTCCCAACCCCAACAAATGGGTCAACAGGGACAACAACCAAGTTTCGCGCCACAACAAATGGGTGACCAGGGACAACAACCCAGTTCCGCTCCCCAACAAATGGGTCGTCAAGGACATCAGCAACAAAGTTCTCCTCCAAAGCAAATGGGTCCACAGGGAGATCAGCAGCCTAAATCAGGAAGCGGACAACAAAGAGGTGGACCACAACAGCGTAAGCCTCAGGATAAGCAGCCGACAACTTCTGTTAAAGGTATGACATTTAAAACATTATATTTCTTAAATCATTTTGTAACACTATCACAAGACATCTTCAGGTACAACTTATTCACCTTTTAAATTGTGGCAATTCTTTCCAGTGTGCAAAATAAGTATTATTATATTATTTTGATTTTGAAAAAAAGCTATAAAATATTTTAAAATAAATTGTGATAACGATCATTCATGAATATGCTTAGAATACCAGAAGTAAAATAATCCTGTAACTTATTAACCCTTTCGGTCATGATTTAATGATTATAATATATTAAACAAAATTACGGTTTATGAAATTGTAAAAAACAATTTTTATTTTTTGTCAATGTACTTTACATTTTTGACAAAAAATACGGGAACTGCCTTTACATTATGGGAGTTTACATCGTGTTGAAGATTTCGTTTCTTCATGCAGTGGAAAATGCGCTTTCGTGTCAAACCAAACATAAATAGGCCGGTTTTCCTGGTTCTTTTTCTTGTTCAACGGTTCTGATTTAGTTCAATTTGACGGGCGCCCTCTTTTTTAGCTCTTATGGCTTCTTCTTCTTCTTGTGCCACTCCTATCGGAGATTGGAAATCAAGGCTATCCTGACCTTGTGTACAGCTGACCTAAAGAATTCATTAGTGGTATAGCCAAACCACTCTCTCAAATTACGCAACCATGACATTCTTCTACGGCTTGGATTCAGTTTTCCTTCTATTTTTCCTTGCAATATATTTTGAAGTAATGCGTATTTATGTCCTCTCATCATGTGACCCAAATATTCGAGTTTTCTTCGTTTGATCGTTGACAAAATTTTTTTCTTTTCCTATCCTTGGTATTACTTTAAAGTTTGTGACTCTTTCAACCCAACTTATCTTCAGCATTCGACGGTAGCACCACATCTCGAAACTTTCAATATTTTTTATGTTGTTTTGTTTGAGAGTCCATGTAACATTCTTAATTGTAGAAGGATGCTTATATCTCTGTTGCAGAAGAATTTCCTCATTTTTATGAAGGCGGTCCTGACAATTTTGATATGTTTTTTTATTTCATTGTTATGGCAATTTCGATACGTCTTTTTATTTCATTGTTTTGGTCTCCAGTTTCGTTTATTGAAGTCCCCAAGTATTTGTAACTGGACACTTTTTCAATCTGAATGCCGTTTATACTAATATGTGCTGGTTGTGTCATGTTTTTACTGAAGACCAGGTACTGGGTTTTTTGTGATCTTGATATTTATGCCATAATTGTTGCAGGCAATATTTATATTTGTAAGTAATCGTTGTAATTCTTCTACCGTTCTTGCAACTAGTACAGTTTCGTCTGCGTATCGAATATTATTTACAACCTTTCCATTGATTACGATTCCTTCGTTTACTTGCAAAAGGGTTTCCTGGCAGATGCTTTCACTATAAACATTAAATAGCAGCAGTGACAAAAAGCATCCTTGTCGTACTCCTCTACGTATTTCTATAGCTTGTGATATCTTATTTTCTATTTTGATGTTAGCTTTCTGACTCCAATATAGATTTAAGAATTATTTGCAGATCTTTATTAGCTATGTCCTTTCTTTCAAGAATGTCTCTTAGCTTATCATGGCGTACTCTGTCAAACGCTTTTTCAAAATCGATAAAATATGCATGTACTTCCTGATTAACGTCTAGTCATCTTTGTGTAAGAACATTCAAACCGAAGAGAGCTTCTCGAGTACCTAAACCTTTTCTGTGAACCCCATTTGTGTGTATCCATTTGTGTGTATAATATCTGAATCCAACTTTTGATAAACTCGGTTGTGGATGACTTTTAGAAATATCTTTAGTAGATGGTTCATTAAAGATATTGTTCGATGTTCCGAACATTCTTTTGCATTGGATTTCTTTGGCAGTGTAACTTAGAATGTAGACAACAGCCACTTTTGAGGTATAATATCAGTTTTGTATATTGTGTTAAATAAGTGCAATATTATACCTATTGAGTCATCATTCAAGAGCTTTAGCAATTCAGCAGGAACCTTATCAGGTCCATTTGCCTTTCCAGTTTTGGAATTTCTAAGTGCCACTTCTACTTCACATTTTAGGATTTCAGGTCCCGTTTCACCATTTACCTGAACAATGTTATTTCTGTTGTCCTCAAACAATTCTCTTATTAATTCACTCCATCTATTAATTTTCTCTGTTAAGTCTATAATAATATTTCCGTCATTGTTCTTAAGCAAACTTATTTGATGTCTTCTTTGAGTTCCTGTAATTTCTTTTACTTTTTTATGTACATTGAATGTGTCATATTTTATTTCATGGTTTTCCATTTTTACACATTGTTCTTCAATTCATAATTCTTTGGCATTCTTTATTCTTTGCTTCATGTTCTTATCAACCTCTCTGTATTTTTGTGCATTATTCTTCATTTTACGTCTTTCATCCATTAGTTCTAGTATGTCTGGTGTCATCCATACCTTGTGTTTCTTTGCAGATCTGAAGTGTTTCTTTCCCGTAGTTCTTATTGGTAGTGTTTATGTACTTAAGTTTTTCATCTCTGTTGTCTGTTCCGAGCATTTGACTTTCTGCTATACTGAGGCTGGTGTTTATTTCTTCTTGCACTGTTTGTCGTAGGTGTTCACTTTTGAGCTGGCTTAAGTCTAACGGTGGCGCTGGGATGATGGTTTTTCTTATTTTCTTTGGTCTAGCTTCTATCATAGATACTACTGGATTATGATCCGAACCGATATCAGCTCCAGGATAAGTTTTAGTAGATTTCACGGCATTACGGTATCTTTTTGTCACCATTATGTAATCAATTTGGTTTCTAATTTTTCTTATGGCTTATGAAGTTAAAGCTTCTGCCATATAGCCCCTAAAATGAACTAAATCTAAAGTTTCTTTAGATGGCCGGAAAAGCCTAAATCTCTTTATTTGAATTATTTTTAGATCTAAAAAGAACCGTGTAAATGTTTATTACTCAAGTCGTTGAGTCACGTTGTCGTCAAATGAAGACATATAATTCAAAAAAAAAAAATGATTTGACATATTATGGAAATTTTGAAGTGTACTTACTATTTAATTTAATTATTTGCCCTAAAAGCTTCCAATATTTGAAAAGAAACACAATTTATCTCGGTTTTAGAAGGGTAAAAAATTTAATAATTTGAGTAGTGTCGATAGCTTTCATAAACCATTGCTTCTTCTTCTTCTTCTTAATTGTGGCACCCCCCACATCAATATCAAACAAATCCAAATTTTACATATCGAAATCAAAACCCTTTCAATTATATTTTTTTATATCGAAATCAAAGTTATCAAAACCAAAATTTTTGGGGTGCTACCCAACATTCTCAGAATTATTTTACATCTCAGAATCGTTCCACAAACTTCCGACCAGAAAGTAATGTATTCAGGCCCAATCGAATTACTAATGATCCATTATATCAATAGCGTCCAGAAACACATTAAATTCTAACGCTAGATCAAATTCCAATAAATACAATAATAATCGTAGAAATTCTTTTCCTAGATGAATTCCTGATACCATAGCTGAGGAGCTATACACAAATAGTTATCAAAACGAAAATAATAATCCAAGAGAACGGCGACATGAACGAGTAAATAGCTATTTTAGAAATTCTGAGTATGATTTACCACTAAACGGTCAAGGAGACCAAAATTTTCAGATAGAAGCCTCGGAAAGGAAACAGTCAATATAGAAATAAATTCTAATAATCCCCTACCATATATTGAAGTAGGAAATTCAAAAATAAAATTGCTGAGTGATACCGTAGTGTATCATCAATATCGTCAATAGTATCATCAGTATCATCATAATATCAAGCCGAAATACCAGCATTTCCAGAATTCAGAAGTGACTTTTATATTGATTATATCTTATATGATTTTCACGAATATTTCAATGGAATCTTAGGATTAGAAGATATGATAAGAATGAACTTAGTTATAGATTTTACTAATAAACAACTGTATAATAACAATGTAATGATACCGATTAAATTTAGAGAACCAATGGATATTAAATTTTAATTTACTATAGGTGCACAGGAAAAAATGCTTTATCCTCTTCCTGTCAGTATACATAATGGAGAAATAATAATCGAAAAAACATATTTAGAAGAAGTTTATATACCTGAAACATTACCATTAGCAAAAATGGCTATGCTATAATGGAAATAATAAACACGACAGACAAACCTTTGAAGATAACTTTACTAAGACCAATAAACGTATACCCCTTTGAAAACGGAAATTTTGAATTATACAACTTCAATTATTTCAACAAAATGAAGACAATAATCTTCTTGACCCTGATACAGATGATATACCAGACTTCGAACCAGATTAGAGGTGACACCGATATTAATATAAATAAATTAGGCACATGTAGAATAATTTATAGTAAACATACATTTATCCATTATATAAACTTAAAAGAAATAGTTAGACAAGTAGAATCTCTTAAAGTTATTTTCAAATAATAAAAACTACTGTAGTGAAAGTTAATGCCTCAAATCCTATTTCATATCATGGATTGGCAGAAAACATGTTAGAAAGAACAGAAGTTTTAATTAATACATTAGAGAAAAAATTAGAAAACATCTATCGCCATATTCGATCAAAAAGAGGCCTAATTGATGGCCTATGTTTTATGGAATTATGTTTTCAAAATTAAACACATTACATAGTTCAATTATTTCGAGTCAAGAAATTCAAGATATGATCAAATATTTGCATAGTATTTACCAACCTTCTCAAATTCCAAAATTTATAAATATTTTAACATATTACATGCTGTTAGGGACACAAGTAACATTTTTAAATTCAAAATTGATCTTTGCTACTCACATTTCTATCCTAAAACCAAATGTCCTTGATTTTTATCATATTTACCCAATAATTCAAAAGAACAAGATGTTCACTCCCACATACCCTTATTTGGCACGAACCTCTGACGAACCACACCTACAAAAAGAAGAATGTTCCATTTTAGAAGAAACATATGATAAAGAAGATACCATACTACAAGACAGTTGCACCTTGCGTTTCCTCAACGGTCAAAGTTCAACCCAATGTTTTACCACAGAAGTCACTCTTCAAGAATCCATTATCGAACAAGTAACTAATAATGAAGTATTGATAATGCCATCGACATCAGAACGAGTCCAATCAAAGTGCAAGAGAGACCAAATTTTCGAAGTACACAGTCCATCTCTCATCAGTATACCAGAAAATTGTGAAGTGATAATCAACCAACTGAAATTCAATAACAATATCAAAATTCATAGAGGGAAAGCCCTAATTTTACCAAAAATAAAATATTTTTATACAGAAAACATACAAAAATTCCAGAGCCATAATATTACCAAAATTGACTTTGAAAATCTTTATGCAATTAATAATATGGCCAAACAGTTGTACCAATTAGAGAAACAAATATACCTTTGCATACGACAAAGAAGATCAAAACAACGGAACGAGCATGAAATAGAATTACAAGAAGATTCCGGTATTGAAGAAGATTCCACAAACCAGCATCTCAAAAATAATTCCATTATTTTTCGGACTCAGTGAGGGAGGAGTTACGTCACTGGATTCCACAGAAACTGCACATTGTAGGACAATAGAAACTACGCAATACTATATTATAAATACAGGAACATTTCAATTAGGATAACTTTTGCTTCATAACTTTTGCTTTACTTTTGTTTAAGAACTTTTGCTACATAATTTGTAAATAATTTTTAAAAACTCGTTTTCGAAACACAAAGTTATAATTCGCTACAAGATGATTTGTTACATCATTTCTGTCTTTGTCCCTCACTTTACTTTTATGTTAAAAATACCACGTTTTTGCAGTATATAGAATGAAATACGGCGGATTTATTTAATGGATAATAAAAAAATCATATTTTTTATGATCACACGTTGTTCTGGTAAATGAGAGATATCTAGTAAATTTTAGTACATATAAAGTACAACATAGAACATGCTTTTTGTTTCAGATGTAACATCTCGTATGAGTGAATTGCAGGCTGGTCCACTCGTACCAATGAGGTTTAGAAACCCTGAACCTGGAAAAGCTGGTCGCAAAATACCAATTGAAACTAATCATCTCAGCCTCGCGTTAGGTAATTTAAACACGGCTTATCACTACGATGTTGATTTGGTACCAGATACCCCCAAAAAGTTTTTAAGACACGTTATGGAACTCTTTAGGCAGCAACATTACCCAAAAAGATATCCAGCTTTTGATGGAAGAAAAAATTTATACAGCCCTAGTCAATTACCTTTTGGAGAACAAATAGAAGGCGAGGTTACTATACACGACGGCCAAAATCGAGAAAAAATATATAAAGTGAAAGTCAAATTTGCGAATACGGTAAGTAAATATCAATACTAATATTCTTCTGCCTCAGCTTTTCCCTTTTCAGGGGTCGCTGTTCCTTACTCTGAGTGGGGAACACTTACTCCTACTCCTAGTTCCTTACTCCTACGCTGAGTGGGGAAGTACTCACTCATTTCTGTCTATCGTTTCTTCTTAACCTAAACCTCTCAAGTCCTTACAGTCATTCCATCTTCTCATCGGTTTTCCTCTTCCTCTCTAATTCTATCCTTCTTCCCACATAGTTTTCTGACGTGACCAAACCATTGCCAATCTTTGAATCTATTTTGAGGCTGTAGTCTTTCTCTAATCAAGTCATTCCTGATCCTGTTTTTAGGATTTTAAAAACAATATGAATCAAATTCCAATATTTTGGACATAACTATGTGTAAAGGTCGTAATCTGGAATTGGTTCTTCCTGACGTTTCGTCTGCAACTGCTGCCAGACATCGAAATCAATACGAGAATGAATGTAGTTATGTGTAGGGTGCCCTCCGGGATTTTTTATTATGTATGCTTATAAACCGATGGTAGTGCAGACAATTGGCTTGTTCATTTTCCACTCATTCATGATGCCCATTCCAGAGTTCCTACACCATGCAATAGGATTGTACAGGTCTATAATCGAGAATTTTATAAAAATGAAAAAGGTCCTATGTGGCAAAGATCTAACATTAGCTCTTAAAGTACGCCTAACAAAATGTTACGTATACAGTGTACTATATTATGGAGTGGAATCATGGACGTTAAATCTAGATACCATGAGACGACTTAACGCCTTTGAGATGTGGACCTATAGAAGAATTATGAGGGTTTCGTGGGTAGATAGAGTTACAAACAATGAAATACTGAGAAGAATAGGCAAAGAGAACGAAATTGAACTTACAATTAAAGAAAGAAAGCTACAGTATCTCGGACATGTGATGCGGGGCGATAAGTATGGCATCCTGCGACTCATAATGCAAGGAAAAATAGATGGCAGAAGAAGCATCGGAAGAAGACGAATTTCATGGCTGAAGAACCTGAGAGAATGGTTTGGATGCAGCTCAAAACAACTATTTAGAGCTACTGCCTCAAAAATTAAGATAGCTATGATGATTGCCAACCTCCGTAGCGGAGATGGCACCTGAAGAAGAAGATAATCGAGAATCAAAATTGTTTTGAACAAATTCTTGGAAGTAATAGTGATGATTATTATTGACATTTGGGTTAATTACAATAAATAATTTTATATTAGTAGTTAATAGTTAAACCTTCCTAAAACCGCGATGAAAGCCGGCAACTCAGGGATTCAGTTGTTTTGCTATCGAAGTAAACAGAACATGACTCACATAAACACATTGTAAAACATCGTCTAAAATATCGATCGAAGTTCTTCGGATGAAGTGTTAAAGTGAAGTAAATCAAGGCGAGGTGACTCTCTACATACTCCTAAAGTCGAGCAATGTAGTGTGACACTTCGTATTCGAACTTCGGGCCCTTTGACTTGGACGCGAAAACAGACACAGAACGGAAGTAGGACGAAGCGAAGCGAAGTCGCATGAAGTACCTGTCTACATTCTTGTACTCTCTGAACTTCGATCAACTTCGCGAGTAGTATAATGGGCAGTTTAAATATTCTAAATTTTTTACACAGTAGTTTTTTTCGACAGCGAAGACAGGAAGTCGTAAAATTTTATTACATCTTTCGGTGTGAGATAAAATTCTGAATTTGGTCTAATTATTTCATTAGATTATCGAAACAGTGGACACGTATTTTGGTGTTGCAGCACTATGGAGGTCGAGAGCAGTCAAAGTAAACAATGCCCAAATTTTTCGATGGGAGAAAAAACTATTATATACACTGTGTATTGGAAACTCAATGAAAGGAATAAAAGTATGTTGGCCAACGATGTAGTTGCTCTGTGTAGTGATTTGACGAGAAGTATCTACGAGAACTGTATACAGACTTCTAAAAAATTTAAACAAATTGTACTATTTAGCACAACAAATTACTATAAGTATACTATTTAGATGAAACTCGGCTGAATCAAGGTCATACTGTCTCAAAGGGGGGGGGGGCAAGATTTTGAAATTAAAAGTCATCGACAAGCCTTACACCTGTAGGTAAAGGACGGAGGCTCATAATAACACATATTCGGCTGCCTGCATGTAACACACTATATGTATACGCCTATACGTAAAAGCTTTTTGTAAACTATTACTTGTAAACTTGTTACTATTCTAATCCAATCTGTTACTCAGAAGGGTTAAAAATTTCTGAGCCACCCTAATGATCTCGTTTTTCAGCTCTCTGGGACGTCGCTTAAAGCAACGCTTTTTCTTTTTGGCAATTTGTCGTCTTTAAACCGTAAAAAAATTGTCGAAATTTTCGAAGCAAATTAGAATATGCCACCGTAATTTGGTGACCTATTTATGTCGACCTGTTCATTTTCCTCGTAGAATCAGTTCAACGTAGTTGTCTGAAATACATTAGTTGTCCAGAAAATAAAGAACGTTCTGACATAAAAATCGTATCGTGGAATCTGTTTTTCAATGCCGGAGGATTTTCAATGGGAGCCGCTATTCCAAATGTTAAAGAACAAATATTCCTGAGCACACAGTAATTTGAGTTGGTTCACGCTCACACTGATGTGACAGACAGATAACTAGCGCGCACGAAATTACGGCGGTGGGGGATGGGAGCCACGCGTGATGCGCAAGCGTTCTTTACTTTCTGGTCGACCGTCGTTTATATAGCTAAGATCCTTTGTTGTTTATCTCAAACGAGGATTTGATCACAAAATCGTTTTAGATATATTTTCATTTAATTCTTTATAATTCAGACACAACTGTGACAGTATATCTTTTTTGTAGTAAGATTCTACACAATACCATGCATTGTTCTGATCTAGTGTGCAAGTTACAAAAAATGGTGTAATAAAATTGATTTGAATATTGCTAAATGTAAAAATCATTATTATTAATCATTATAAATTATTTGATCGAAAATGCTCATTTACCAATCTTATTAACGAAATTGTTGCTTCATTTTTTAAAACCTTAGGATGATGAGAAATTTTCGAATCACATTAAAATATTTCACCTCAATTTGATCATGTAATTATGCCAAAATTATTTTTTGATACCTAGGTTTAAATCACGATATCCATCATATACCCAGAACTAATATCCTTGTTAGTTTCACAACTAAAAGGATGTATAACACTTTTATTCTGTATAAATTGATGTGTGTTCGTTGGAGAATTAAGTAACGAAACTCTGAAGGAAATGCACAAGTTTATTGAGTTGTTAACAGCTTAGGGTACCAAACGATACTAACTTAAACTTAAAGAATGCAAACTATTTCTTAAAACCTTTCATAGTCCTTGAACATATCGCTGACACTTCGAAATTATCAGCGTGGGTGTTCATCTCAGATGTAGTCTAAATATTGAAATTAAAACATACACAGTGGAGTGCTCGCCATAACATAACTTCCATGAATTTCCTTTAAATGAAATCTATTCACATAATTATTTCTATATTTTCTCCGATTAGGTGTAAGCCTGTTGTATATAAAGACATTTATTTATATCTGTTCAGTTTGTCCCAATACACTTGCTGGTTCTATATAAACCTACGTTTGCCTATCAAAACCGAAGGAAGAAAAATAAAATCTGCTAATTAAACATTTTTTTTCATTGTAATTAACCGCCTCTAATTTAATAATTGTTATCTATTATAACAAATACAGCAGTTCTAATCTAATAATCATTTATTTAATGTATAATTCTTTTTTAGGTTGATTTAACTCCTCTGAAAAATTTTAATTTATCTAGAGCAACTCCGACAGAAGCTATACAAGTGGTCGATATTGTTCTACGTTGTGCTCCTTCTCAAAATCTACTTCAAGTGGGAAGAAGTTTTTTTCATAAACCAGTAGGAGAGATTATCGACTTGGGAGAGGGTATGGAGATGTATCATGGCTTTTATCAATCGGCTATTAGAGGCTGGAAACCACTTTTAAACGTTGATGTTGCTCATAAACCGTTTCCTAAAGGTAAGCTTTTTTATAATAATTTGATAAAATAAGAATATGATAATATTGGTCAATATGTTAGCTATAGTAGCGGAGGAAGGGAAAGTCAGTTAGATTTTGTGCTGTGTAGAAGAAGCCAGCGAAATGAGGATAACAACTGCAAAGTGGTAAATGGTTAGTGTGTAACTAATCAATACTGACCGTTGACAGTGAATACGCAGATTAAGGTGAGGCAGAAAGAAAAGTAAGCAGGACATCAGAAAGTAAAGTAATGGAAGTTAAAGGATGATTTGACCAAAGTAAGAAGTAGAGTAGAATGATGGATGAGTTTGACGAACAAGACGCGGTAAATGATTGGTGGGAAGACAACAGCAAAGATGTGGTACGAGTGGGAGAGGAAGTGCTAGGAAAAACATCTAGTAAAGGAATGAGAGGAAAAAAACTTGGTGGTGAAACGATAAAGTATAACAGAAGGTTAAGGAGAAGAAAGAGGAATGAGAGATCTAGAAAAGAGAAAAATAAAGATACACACAAGGTGGCAAAGAGGAAATCAAATCGCGCTGTAGCTGCTGCTAACGAAAGATCGTCTGCAAAGCTGTAGGAAGAGTTAGAAAGACCTGAGGCGATGAAAAGATTATACAGCATTCACCTGCTCACGTGCGGCATATTACGAGTACGGATGGAAGAGTGTTAAGATACGATATAATATAAAGCAAAGATGGTAAAAGTATTTTAGAAAGTTTCTAAATTAAGAACGCCAGAGAAGAAACAGAAGATGGGCGACCCTAATGAGAATGTAATGCCGGAGATAACGAGAGGTTGAGATACCGAAGGTTGTCGAGACTTTAAATAGGATGAAGAATGGGATGGCATTAGAACCTGATGGAATGCCTGTAAAGGTTTGGAAGGCTTTATAAGAGGAAGGGATTAGTGTGTTGTGGCAAATGATGTATAGGATATAAGAGTAAGAAAGGATGCCCAATGCAAGGAGTGGTGGTCACTGTATAAAGATAAAGGAGACATCAGGACTGTAAAAACTTTTCCATAAGTTCTAGGATTTCATTTATTATCCATCCATGTTTAAACCAAAAGAAAGTTTTCTCTCTTTTGAAAGTTATCTCGCGTGAGTGCACTAGCGTCTAGCGTGAGCATTCCTTATAATTTTCCATTTTCGGTTTGCGCCTTCAACAGGTGTTATGTCTATTTTATTGATCTCGGGATATCTGTATTCTATTGAATTCTTGTTATCCCGCTGAGTTTCTTCAGTTTAATGCTAAATCTTCAATAGGTTGTGGTTCATATCTTTGGTTATAACTGATGACAAGATATATATACGAGTGGTCCATGGACTACCACTTTCGGGCTGTGGTCCGCAGACATCTGTGGTTTGATAACCACTGCTCTAAAGCAATTCCTTCACATTGAATTTTTTACTGAAAGAATATTGTATCCTGATAAAACAATGAATTCCGATAAAAGGTTTATCTAGTATTTATTTCTCAAATGTGGACAGTATATAAAGAAAAATAAAACAGAAGAAACAAGTTCTATGTGTGAAAGCCATTCAGACGAGCTGTCCTTATGTCCTGTATAACTAAATTATGGCTTAAAATTTTGTATTATTTGTGAAACAATAAATTGCTTTAATTGTGTCACAAACTGTATAGAAAAATGTTTGTGATGTGCTACCGACGTATCATGTGTAAACATTAAAAAAAATGTGTGCTGTATCTTGCATAGCCTTCAATTTAAGAGCGTCCATCAATGTTTTTAAACACTACATGAGACGTTCAGAACCATAGTGGATTCCAACTGGATGAAGTCCACTTTTTACGAAAATTAAGTTATCGGAATATCTATGTTCTACAAATAGAAATCGTATCGGTGCTATAATAAACCACGCCCAAAGTTACCGCAATAATAAACAGATGGCGTCAGTTTCCTATGTATCTGAACAATGTGTCATATTATTTCGGCACAGAGTGGATCAAGTCCAGTTAACTAGTCAGATTGTGCTCAGTGTATTTATCGTGATTGTATATATGTTTGGGAAAGTATGTACTATGTATTTCTTAAATGAAATCGTAGGCTTCCACGGCCAGAGTCAGAATTATAGTTTATTCGTCTTCCGGGTTTGGACCGTGTCATTTGTGAGTGACCCAAAAGTGGGTTCATCTCGACGTTTCGCTACAATTGTATGTAGCTTCTTCAGGAGAACAAAGAAAAAGAAATCAAAAGACAGGAAGATGGGTAGTTAGCAACGGTAACTCAGTTACGCAACGCCACCAGAGGCGAATACTAACTACCAAGATGGGCATTTGGTCACAGTAACTCAACTACTCAACGCAGCCAGAGGTGAAAACCAAATGCCAGGACAGGGATTCACGTCCAACAGCTCAGAACACTAACGCGTCGAGAGGCGGGGAGTGAATCCGACGATTACTCCGCTGCCGCTCTATTTATAGTCGCGGTGACCTGTCGTGTCGGGACGTATCGCCACATGATTGGCCAGCGCGCGCTTCTTGAATAGTTTTAGCTCTAGCGCGCTTCTCTTAGCTGATCTTCTCTGGTGTCTAGCTCCATTCCTTTGACATGGATAGTCATCAGCCTCTCCACACCCAGCCGCAGGGTGGTCATGCCCTTATTTTTGTCCGTTAGAGCGCTTTAATTTGCTTCAGAGCACCCTGGTCCTTATCCATGGTGGTGAGCAGTTTTCCATCTTTTGTGCTCCTAAGGGTACGGATGACATCTGTGGCACCCGCCACTTTCACAGCAGTCTTGACTGTGGTAAGAAGATCTTTATATGTTGTGTCCTTTTTTGATACAATCATGCCGTATGTAGGCCGACTAAAAGATGTATAGTATAAACGTACGCTGTTGTGTTTGTGTGTTGGAAGATGCACTCGCACATCTTCCTCAGGTCTTGGACCGAAAGAAAGCTTACATGATGGAGCGCCACTTTGCCTGCATTACCTATCTCATCCTTAATTTGGACCATCTTGTCCCAGAGTGTCTGTTCATCTGCCGCGTTCTTAACCTTGATTACCTTCCTGACCAGATCCGCTGAAACCTTGGACCGGAAGGAAGTCCTACTTTCGAGGACGTCAAAATCTTCGTCCAGTTGTTCTAGTTCAGGGTACCGATCTCTATATAAACGTTGAACACTTCTCTCCATCTTTGGATCGGAAGGCTCAACCATGACCACCTTAGTGAGGGTATCTGGGGCGTTAACAGGGTTTCCGACTACGACAGTGGATCTCTTGAAAAGGCTCTCGGGCCATTCCCAGTCTTTATATTTATTCCAGGTTTCGGGAGAATCTATATGGTCTATCGATTTCAAAACAGACTTGACCCCCGGTCCATGCCAAGGGTCAGTCTGCGTTGAAATCTCAGCAGTTAGGGGTTTACTTGTAGTGATCCCCTCAGCCGGACTTGGGTCTGTCTGTATTATTTTGCTAGTCATTTGACACGTCGTGTCGGCCGCGCATGGTTCAGTCTGTACTTCCGAATCAATGAGCATCTTTTCTGTCGCTTCAAATCTGTAGTTTTGCAACCACTTTCTAATGGATTCCCTTTTATAGGTTGATACATTCTTCTTTAGTCTTTGGGCAACATCTTTTATTTTATTATTAGTGTTAGGTACCTCCCCAATTAATTTGTAGAGGTCTTCGGTCAGTTTTTCTTGCATCTCTATGCTTTCGATTAAGGATAGGTATTCCGAACTCTCCTTTTTTTTTATATAGTTTAGTATCTAGGTTCGGCGAGCTAAGTTTCCGCTTAGCCCCCGAGGTCTTAGGTAAATCAAGGCTATCAGGAAGAGAGTGCGTCCTCTCCCTGCCACCTTTTTCCCTATTGAATCTTCCCGTTATACCGTACGGGTCGCCTCCGGTTTTTTGTAGTAAGGAAATTTTTTTCATACTGTTCCCACGAGTAGCTAGTTCTGTCCGCTGTCGCAGAGCCCCGCTTGCGGCAGTAAGGCTATTTAGAATGGGGTGTCGCCAGATGCCCCAAGGGAACCGTTCTCGACCACGCGTCGTGTGGCCATTCATCCTTCAGCACGGTGTTTCACACCTTGGATTCCGGGTTTTTTCCGCTGGTTTTCTCCGTCGGTTTTTTTCTTTTTTCTCTGCGTCAGGTTGTCTCCTGAGGTTGGAAGGTTTGGGAGCAAGGAAGGGGGAGGAAGTCCTTCGGAGGGTGTGGAAGGCGTCGCAATTTGGGAGTAGTTGCGGCGTCTTTTAGCGTCCGGTGGCGAAGTCCGGCGACCACCCGGTGCGACGACACCGGACGCAGGACTGTTCTTGGTTTCACCAGTCGTGCTCCCCTCACAATATTAGGGACCAAGACCAGTTACTCGGCACTCCCACCGGCGTCGAGGTAAAATCACAGTCCGGGGAGGGAAACTTGTTGTACCTAGGACTAAGGAAGTTTTAGTTAGTCTGAGCTTAGTCCATGTTTATTAATAACATTCTGAAAATGAAGTTAGTACTCGCTTAATCTGGGACTAACTAGTCCGAGACTAACTTCGGACTAAGCAATTTTTATTAATAAGACTGTACAGGTGCTATCAAACCAAAATAATAATTTATTGGTTAGATTAATATATTTAATTGTAATCAAAATATCAAGTGTGCACATAGTGTGCATTATCATTTAATAATCGCGTATAATAGATATCAATTAATTATTTTATATGTAGAAGCACTGAAAACTATTTATAAATGGCAACGGTTGTTTACATTTCTCTGTCTTATGGATCTACGTCAAACATCAAATGCTGTTCCATGTTTGTTTACTTTTTACAGTAGATAAGGAAAAGTTGTTTTTCGATATTTTGGCTGCATTTTGAGTGATATCTGTGAAAAGTGAAATAAAATAAACGAAATATTTACATCCCGATCTCTCATTTAATTTGTAAGTACATACAATTTACATTATTTAAGATGAGGAAATGAGGAAGCGTGTTTATTTACATTTTAGTAGGCGTACCATTGGGTTTATTCATGTTCATTAATGTATTGAATAAGATATGAGTTCATGAAATTAGTAGACATTTTTAAATTGTAAGTAGACATCATCTGATTAAAAAAGATCTGTTTAGTACCTTTTTAATTTAATATTTCTCATGGATACAAATAAATTAGTGAAATGAATAAAACTCATTTATTTTTCTATGTAGGTTTCCAAATAATATTGACGATCGAACTATTTGAGTAGCAAATTTAGGAGAAAACGTAAGATTTTTTATTGTAGCATTATTTTGATACCTATCAAAATATTAACTTGAATTCAACTATATTTAATTGTATTTTAAAGCAAATAAAATTGTATTTTAATTTTTCTATAAAGACGTGATTTGTTAATAGTTAATCTCTCGTTTTTTTTTAATTCTTTGAACGTGTTTTTATACATTATTACTACTTCCAATTTTTAAAATCTGAATAATTACCCGCAAGTAAAAATTCAAGCACGCTTATGCTCATTGCGGAAGTATCACATTCTATGGAAGCTTCAAAACATTGTGTGTTAAAGGTATCTTATTGCTGTGTCCATCTATGTTTATACGTCCATGGTAGAGATCTTTTTAACTTTAACTCTAAATATCTCTGACTTGTATTATGGACATGATCCACTATGGTTCTGAACGCCTCATATATGTATGGTTTTAACAATTTGGCCTCCTAACAACATATACATATGTTACAAAAGGTACAAAGTGTTTACACGTGCGTATTGTATACAAGTGCATAATATATTTTTTGTTTTGACAAAATTCTACCAGTCTACCGCTCCATCGGTACCTACCGGCCCAGCTGTTAAATATATATTGTAGAGCACTGGAGGTAGTTCCTATAATTTTTAGGTTATGGGTAGACTTAAATCTAATCCGTACTTTTTTCCAGCTATGCCAGTGATAGAAGCTTTGCTTGAAGTAATAAACGCAGAAAAATATAACCAGAAACTTACAAGAAATGACCTTGGCAGACCTCTCGATAGGCGAGATTTGGAAATATTTGGCAAATTCATGCGGCAGTTAAGAGTTGTTTATGAAATTCCAAATTTGCCCAGTTCTAGAAGAAGTTATAAGGTTAACGGTATAAATGATCCACCGGCCAAGAAAACCTTTAAAGATTCTAATAGTAAGTAAAACGATTGAGCTTTGTATTGTTCTAAATTTTTTTGTGGTATATTACTTTATTATTCAATTTTCTTTCGGTTAACCGCAAATCTAATTAGAAATATCTATAAGAAAAATTAATTACCTGTAGTCGCTCTATACTATAAAATTTTTAATTAAAATTCTTTTCTCCAAACGTCAAATACAGTATTTCTAATTACGAAAATTTTAATTAAAAAATCCTTTATAAAAAGGTATATTTATTAAGAACCCTTCCGGGCTACACCAGAGAACGTTTTCGGGATGAATATTCCATCATCAGTGCTGCTACCTGGAATAACTATTGCCACTATTTAAGTCAAACGTAAAGGTTAAATTTTGATTAAGGTTAAAGCAAATGTGGATTATTACTTACCTAGGTATACATGTGTGAAGATTTAAATATTTCAATTATTACTCTCCCTTACAATACCGATATAAACATTACAACAACAACATAAACATTACAACAATATTACAACTTGTTCTTTAGCTAAATAAAGTCCTTCATTCATCAATTTTGTTGGTTTTCCATATTTTATGAATCCGTAAATAAATTCCGTCAACATTCTCTAATAATTAATAACTTAAAATCTTGCAAACGTTAAATTTTTCAGCTAACAAATGTTGGTTTTTAACATAAAGGGCCTTATTACTATCCAAGTTTACAAAAAACCATTTCTTACAATACAATCTCCCATACGATATACGACTAAAATCAGATCAGATTTTTCAGAATTCATTTAAAGTTCAAATCGTATAATATAACTTATATGTATTCAGGTGATATAACACCACAGTAACGTTTAATCAATCCATATATTCACTCATGCATCCACCCACATCACATTTTATACTTAGACGTCTAAAGACAATACGTTTTCCATGTATTGTCTATCAAAATATGTTTATAGTTATCCTTAATTAAAAAAATATTAAGTAACTTTTTTTAGCACGTGTCACCCATTTGTTTACTAATCAAATTTTATTGAAATTAAAAGTTTAAAACATAAAATAGGTCTATGAGGTACTGCCAGTGTGTTTACATTCATGACTACCAGGCAAGCATATGTAAACAGGTAAAATATATGTGACTGCACCGACCAATCAAAATATATACCATATTAAAAGATTATTTAATAACAAACGCTATGATATAGTATTGGCTACAAGCAATATACCATTCATGAAATACGCGAGAGAGAAATCCGTCTTATTTAGTGTAATAAAGAAGGACGGAGTATAGTAGCTGCGCGCAACGCCTTCGTTGAATAGAAAAGAGTACGCATGCTCTTTTGATGTAAATGTGGTTGAGAGATTTAAACCTGGAGCTAAGATTAATAATATTACAGGAATTAATATTAAACCAAAAAAAACAGTCTTCCGCGTCGATTATAATTGTGCCAAGCTTTCGACCGTACTGGTACGGTACTGGGAATAGAGGACGGTTGATTTATACCGTCAATAGTGACGTGGTTTTGGTGTAGGTTGGCATGGGGGTATAATAGGGATGGGAAAAACCTGCCGGTTTTAACCGAAAACCGGTTTTTTTACTTCGCAATAACCGGTTTTATCGGTTGTTTTTTTGTCCCGGTTATAACCGGTTTTTTAGTTTTAGTGTAAAAACCGGTTATTAGGTTTTTACGGTGATTAAGTTTTGTATTATTTTGGATCCCAGTCATAATTATTATTCTCAAGTAATTATTTCAAACAAAAACCATAATTTAAATTTTATTTTATTTTTTATTTTATTTATTTTATTATAATATTTCGTTGAAAAGGTATTTAAAATCATAATATTTACATAAGAAACATCATATATTTTTCACACTTGACTCTTGACATTGAAAGTGGGTGAATGGCTTTTGCTGATTACCAAAAATAATGTTCTGACTATGAATATCGAATTACTGATTACGAATACGAATCTCCAAGGATTTCCCTACGTTTTTAAACCGACAGAAAGTAATAAATGAGTTAAAATGTACCAATTATACAAATATACAAACGTGTTAAAAGTAATACATGATAAATTTTTTTTGATGGTAGTAAAAATAAAAGATGAATTGCATTATCCAATTTATTTTTAAGTAAAATATTTGTGGTGATATTATTTTTTTAAATCCCATTCGAAAGAGTCTGGGAAATTTTTTATAAGATGCAATGGTTGAGGAATTTTTTGAGTTTGGCAGAGGAAAATTGGTAGATATTTTAAAGGATTATATTTTTAAATGGTAAATTAAATTTGAATCAATAATTGAATACGATAATTGCATATTATATTCTACCCTCATAATATATTCAATGACAATAGAACCTGAATTAATTCAGCGCTCTCTGTTGAGCAGTAGTATAATATTATATTTAATAATAATCAGTAAATATATAATAATAATAGAATAATAAACAAATATAATAATTAATAGAATAAAATGGTTTTATTAAAAATTGTATCTTATTTATATTGATATTGATGTTGTTTCGATAGTACTAATTTTGATAATATTGATATCGAGTCAAATGAAGTATCGCAAACTAAAGTGCATTGTAAATGTAAGTTTGTAATCTATTTGATTAAAAAAACCGAAAAACCGGTTTTTGGAAAAACCGGGTTTTTTTCGGCCGGTTATAACCGCCAGGTTAAACCGTAAGCAAAAAAAACCGGTATAACCGAAAACCGGTGTTTTGTCAAAAACCGCCATCCCTAGGGTATAACATGGGCATTGGCGCGGGGGTTTAACGTGGGGATTGGCGCGAGGGCTAACCTGGGGATTGGTGCGGGGGTTTAACGTGGGGATTGGCGCGGGGGTTTAACGTGGGGATTTCGTGCGGGTTCGTGGGGTTTAACGTGCGCGAACATTTCTGACAGTAGGATTTTGATTGACGAAGTCGAAGGTAACCGTATGCCGTCATCTATGGTGCAAAATGAACAGGACAATCAGATTTTTCCTAAAAACTGGCGTTTAAAAAAGTTAATGCTCCCAATTAAGTTCCTCCTTTCTGAAGGAGGTAAAAACGTCGTCCTTTGCCCAACGTGTCTCAAACACAGGACATACAATAAACTTGAACCAAACTACGATGCTAGCTAACATTGAAATTAACAGTAAACGCGAAATCAGAGAATCACTAGAAATAGATAAAATCTTAACAGTTTAAACCAAAGAGATGATGCTCAAAGGCTTTCAACAACATGGAAAACGGTATTTGAAAGTACCCTCTATCTATGACAATTAAAAATAAATGCAATTATTTGCAGTAGATGTAAATTAATTCATCCACAGTCTTTCTAATAACACTAATTTTGTTAAAATCGGTTGATCCAAACCAAAGGTATAGGTATTTATCCACAAATACTTTGCCACTCTCCCCCATACTTTATTTGAAAAAATAAAAAAAAGTACTTGAACAACTTTGTGCAGAATTTAGGCCCCTTTCTAGTTTACTTATTTAACACTTGGTATAATTGGGAATATTTTCCAAAAAACTGGTTTTCAAAGTTTTCTTCACAGGTTACGCCCCCTAGCGGTTAACTCAGAAACTTGAAAGTTATTTCCAGCGATTTCTCTTGGCCACTTTTACTAAGGAATTTTTTCTCCTAAAGTTGTAACATGAATAGTTTCTGATATATAGCCGAGAGATCGGCTTATTGGACCACCCGGTACAAATACAAAATAATGACGCACGCGACAGAAACACGACTTGACACAGAGAGGACAAAAAAGATTTTGGAAAGCGGATGGAGCAAACCGACCCAGCTAGAAAAACGCTCCTTGATAGACCTATTGCTCAAAGAAGAAGAGGAAGACCCAGAAGAAGCTTCCTAGATAATATAGATCAAGATATGAGAAATAAGGAAATATGTGCTTGGCGGAGGAAGGCGATAGATAGGGACGACTGGAAAAAAATTCTTCGGGAGGCTAGAACCCACACAGGGTTGTAAAGCCAAAATGATGATGTTATAAAACATTGAAGTAATGTTGTTCATTCCCAATATAATAATATTTACTTCTTTCCCTTTTTTCCATTGATCACTTATACACGTTCCACAGTTTATCCCAATTGTCCTTTTCCTGTCTAAACAGTTTAATATTATTCTTATGGATGACTACATTTTTACCATTTTTGTCGATAATAATGTGAGATATTCTTCAATAAAGGTATATGGACCCAAAACATATTTATTTGAAATAAAATATGAAGGTTTGAGTTTTGAATTTGATTCGTTCTTAATGAGTATTATCTGGCTTCTGTGCCGTTCTATAATCTGTACCCCAGTTTTATGAGATCCGTACAAGAGTTCGATCTCATTTTGTAGATTTGTTTCCCACGGAACTGAGGTACCTACAGATTACAGGTACCCACAAAAAAAAATTAGATTCCAAGAATTTTATAATTTTTTCTGTTTATATTCTTATTTCTAGGGTAATTTGTAATAATGTATATAAACATTTAATTTTAGATAGAGAAATTACCATCCAATACTATTTTGAAACAGAAAAAAGGTGTAGATTAAGGTATCCTCAGATGCCGACACTATGGGTTGGATCTTCAGCTAGAACAGATAACCCGGTACTTGTACCTATTGAATTTTGTACGATAGAAGATAATCAGACAATCAATAGAAAAATGACTGAGGGACAAACACGAAATATGATAAGGTATGTACTTACATATTTCAACATGGTTTTTACTTATTATCAGCTTGAGTTTTAAAATTGTTTGCGATATTATCAAAAATAAAACTAATTTTTGTCATCTCAATTGCTGCTTTAGATTTCTTTACATTACTCTTGTACGGAATATTTTTTCTTCTGGATCCATTGCTGTTGAACCCCATTTTTATGTTTTCTCCGATAAAATGTTTAGCGAGAGGTACAGGCCGAAAACAGATGTAACCTTAGGCGTAATTTCGTCACTTGAGAATTATGTTTAACCATATCCCAAAATGTTAAATGCGTAGAATTTGAATTGGAAGTTTTAGGTACTGTAATTTATTTTGTGTAAGGGTCTACAATTGTTTACAATGTTTTATAGGATGTTGTTACGGGTAAATAATAATTTGCTTGTATTTTCCAGGACAAAAATATGAAATTTTACTTCTGAAAGATGGACATGGTTTAAGATGATTTCCAGTTTTTTTACAAATTTATCTGCAATCAAAATTATTAAACCATGTCCACATGATTAATACTGATAATACTGAAAATACAGACTTTTAACGAATGTACAGTTCATAGAATTGTCTATCCACCTGTGGCATCATATACTTTAAGATTGAGATGATGTCGGCCTTCTTCTTCGCTTCCAGTGATGGCTGTTGGGTGATCTGCTTTACATTAACCATGTATTCGAGACTAGTATGACTGCTTATATCGGGATGGGTTCGCTGATTTCTAGTAGTTCCATCCACTCTTACGTTGCTCAGATTACCCGTAAAGGAAGTTTTATAGCTAACATACATACTAGAATCAACTTCAATAAATTTATTACTTTTGTGTATGGAATTTTACTGTATGCTAATTTCTTTGCCAATACCTGAAAATTTAAAAAATCTGTCATCTATAGCATCTACTTCCTGTCATTTGCTGTGCCCGGACTCTGAAAATTGTTGTTGGATCAACTGTATTTGAGGATGTTTCTTGATAAATTCTTGCAATCCAAAAGTCATGATGCTATTCCTATTTTGGGGATACAGGAATCCGACCAAATTACCAATTTTGTTAACTCTGGGAAAACTCAATCTCGATCCAAAATTCTTAGAAGACTGCTGCAAATGTTATTTCCAGTTCTTCCGGATATCATTTCATGCCATACTCCGCAGTATATCTTATTCTTTGAAAAATATCCCTTTAAGTTGTAAACGCTGAATCAACTTTTGTAAAAAAAAATTTATACATTTGCTTTTGGTAGTGAATACACATTCTGCAGATCAAATGATATGAACGCAGTGTTTTCTTCTACAGTTTCCCTATCCCGGTTCTTTTCCATTTTGCTTTCTTCTTTTCCTTTCACATAGTTCTGGAATTCTTCACGCCTTTTATCTGTCACATCAGTAGAATTTTTTATTTCTTCGCAGAAATCACATCTATCTTTTTTAGGTTTAAAGAACGAAATGGTGAAAGATGTATTAAAAAAATTTCGATATACAGGGTGTTTCAAAAAAAGGTAACACCGTCTCTAGGGTGGGTAAAAAACTGAAAAATAATTGGGGTTTGCTTAGTAAAAAATTTTTGTAACGCCATCCGTTTTCAAGATACAGGGCGTTGAAGAAAAAAAATTTTACGCATTTTTTACGATTTTGTCGAAACTACTGGCAACATTGTAATGAAATTTTATACGAATATGTTTTGGAAGCTGATACATCCCATGAATTTGTTTTTATATCTGATTCTCATAGAGGGCGCTAGTTACACGGATCGTACTAAATATTAGTCAATATAACTTGTATAAGAGTATAATTATTAATCAAAATTTCAAGTAAACTTAAACATCATTCAATTTTACACGAAAAAGGTACTCTTGGTAAAACTCAATACTGTGTACCGTTTTCGGAATATTTTGATTTAAAAATTCTGAAGTAATAATTGATGCTGGTAGTAATGATAAAGTTATAATAGGTAGACCTCTATTTTCTCCAAGTGTGCCATGGAAATGTGACATTTATTGATTGTTATGACGATAAATCAACAATAATTAGAGTTTTAAAACCTTGTTATTTGTAAAATCAAATCAAAATGTTGAATATACTGTACTCAAATGTACTCAAATGTTGAATACACTGACATGTTATTAACCTTAGGCAAATGTTTAGGATGTTCTAGTGCAGCTGTGACACGTTATGCAGAAAAGTTTTCTAGAAGAAACTTACCAAGTAAAAAAACATTTAGAGCCGTTGAACGACGTTGTCGAGAAATTTAGAATGTGAGACCAAATAAAAGAAATTCTGGTAGACCAAGTACAAGAACAATTAATAAAGAAAATAATATTTTAAATTTACTTGATCAAGATCCAACAGTTAGCGTAAGGAATATACCAAGACAAATAAATACTTCTTCTTCAAGTACTTGGCGGATACTGAAAGAACAGCAATTACATCCTTATCATTACAGACAAGTTCAAGAGCTCTTGCCAGATAATCTTCCGATTAGAGTGTATTTTTGTGAAACATTGCAACAAAGGACAGCCCACAATCCAAATTTTTTAAAATGCATTCTTTTTACGGACGAGGCCACCTTTACGCGACAAGGTATGTTTAACTCCCATAATGCACACTACTGGTGTGATGAGAATCCACGAGTCAAAAGGGTATCACATTACCAACACTCATTTAAAGTTAATGTTTGGACAGCAACTTTAGGTAACAAATTAATAGGTTATCATATTCTACCTGTAAATATACCCGATTTTTATACCCGATGTAGCTCCACCACACTTTGATAGAAGGGGTCGTAATTGGTTGAGTAATCATTTTCCGAATCGATGGATTGGTAGAGGTGCAGAAGCTCCGATTCATTGGCCTCCTAGGTCATGCGATTTTAACCCTTTGGACTACGCAGTTTGGTCGTATATTAAGGAAAAGTCTATGCTACAGAGGTAAATTCACGCCAAGAATTGGAAGAAAGAATTCAACGTCAATTTAATGACATCATAGCTGATCCCCTACTGTTTAGAAGGTTAATGGAATCTTTAGAAAAAATAATAGATTTGTGTATTCGCGAAAACGGAGGGCATTTTGAACACTTACTGTAATTGAATTTTATTTTATGTTCTTAGTCATTAATTTAATTTTCTTCTTGTGAGTTTTGTTTAATTACTAACTATTTTATACCAGCATCAATTATTACTTCATAATTTTCAAATCAAAATATTCCGAAAACGGTACACAGTATCGAGTTTTACCAAGAGTACCTTTTTCTGTAAAATTGAATGATGTTTAAGTTTACTTGAAATTTTGATTTATAATTATACTCTTAAAAAATTTATATTGCCCTCTATGAGAATCAGATATAAAAACAAATTTATGGGATGTATCAGCTTCCAAAACATATTCGTATAAAATTTCATTACAATGTTGCCAGTAGTTTCGGCAAAATTCTAAAAAATTCGTAAATTTTTTTTTCTTCAACGCCCTGTATCTTGAAAACGGATGGCGTTACAAAAATTATTTACTAAGCAAACCGCAATTATTTTTCAGTTTTTTACCTACCTTAGAGATGGTGTTACCTTTTTTGAAACACCCTGTACATTTATTTTGGTCTCAGAATCGGGGTGTTTTTCCTTATAGATGTCAAACATTTTTTGTATGTTTAAATCTTGTTCTAAATATTCTTTACTTGTATTTGCTCGGCAGTAATGCCTTTCCATTCTCGGAAACGAATTAAGATGCTCTTTAATTTTGTTAATTTGATCCCCACTGGTTACTCTTTTCACATGTTTTCCATGTACGTTGCTTTTCGGTGTGCCTGATATTTGGTACTTATTTTCAAAAAAATAAGATATTCGCCAAGAGATAGTATTCAGGATATTTAAAAAAAGTTTTGCAAGCTTATACTCTGTTATTATTTAAATCGAAAAAATATTTCAGAGTATACTTTTTGTAGGCGTCTTATAGCTGTGGAAAAACTCTCGGTCTGCTTCTATTTTTTTTTTTAGTTTTTTGTACAAACTTACTGTAAAAATGTGATTTCTCTTGGTCTTCTAGTTGCCAAAAATGTTTATGTATAGATGTCTGGTTTTCAATGCTTATTTTAGGTTTACATTTTAAACGACAATCACACTGTCCCTTGACTGATTTCATTTCCACATGTTCTCCTTTGGTATTAACATAATCCAACCCAGCTTGTCTACGCCTTTTTCTTACATTTTGTTTCCATTCATTAATATCCTTTTTTCGCTTTCTAGAACGCTCTTTATTTATTAGGTTAGGCTCCGGACTATAGCAAAAACACACTATTACTTATCGAATGTGTAATAATGTGTGAAATGCGCTAACTAAAAACTGGTTTCCCTCAAAAAAAAAAAACAAAAAATATTTACCTCCGATTGCTTTCGGCATCTGCAGTATCATCCTATAACAAATTTTCTGACAGCATGTCATCGTCATGAATGTGCTGATCTAAATTAAACAGAAGTTTAAAATTAAAAGAAGTTTAAGAAAATAAAGGTTATGTTGTATTTTTAATACTCAATCAACATCATTTCTAAAATCAAACAACACTAACAACTACTATTTAATCATTATAATGACGTCAACTGTGATGGATTCATATTAAGCACTGTTTTTCACAATTTTTAAAACCTTTAAGCACCTTTAGGGAAATGTAGGTTAAAATAACATTCACTAACGAACACGTTCGTTGTTTTAATAAATAAAATTCAACTATTCTTTGTTTCAAATTAAGAAAATAACATTACGCTTATGGAGATCAGTGTTGCCAAAACTCTCAGACACTCTCTTTTGCACGGGTGTCCAAGATATTCCCTTTGCTTAATTTTTGAATTTTCATTTTCATTTAACATTTAAATGTAAAGTCAGAATAACTACTAAATAAAAGCCTTATTATCATTATGTAGTCAGAGAACGATATAAAATAGCTGACATACGCACATCGTATTATTTTAAGTTGCAATTAGTAATTAGATTCGCATTGAAAGCGGTCAATATTTTCTACTGATTTCTATGATTCATGGCATATCGTATTCTCACCGAAAAACAAATAAACTGTCGTTACTATAATTAAAATAAGATAAAATAAAATCTTTTGTAAATAATATTTATCTAATTAAAATCATTTTCCCTACTTTTCATCTCTTGTTTCGAATGGGCACTTTTGGTCAATTAGGTTAAAAAATATTAATTTAATTCATGTTTGTGGAAACGAAAATACAAATTATACAATCCTAAATTGTGCCTTGTGTGTGTCGTGGCAACGCCGCGTTTCTATCGTCCATAAGAAATACATGGCCCTATCTCCGCAATGTTATTTTCTAAACGTGGAACGTAGTATAGTAAAGGTCGAGATATACAATTAATACTGTTTTACTGCGTATAACGGAATTGTTTTGAAACTTAAGGTCGATTCAGACACATCAGTCACGTCTCGTCACAGTGATTGCGCCGAACCGAATAATCCGTCATACAAAATATTCTTTAATACAAATATGTTGCCGGCATTCACACTCATCAGTTGACAAACAGTTTCCCAGCTGTCAGATAGTTGATAGTTCTGTGACCAAACAGGACCGGTTCGGCGCCGAGACGGGACTGATGTGTCTAAATCGACCTTAAGTCTTATATTTAAAAAACCGCAGTATTCCGTCAGTCATTAATTTCAATGGTTTTAGACATGCTGCAACCTCTACTACAGTACGCAAGAATAAGATTATGGAAGGAATTACACGAGCGAATTTTAACAGCCACCCTACGGTTCGAGAATTCGGTTTCTCAGTTTCTAGCGCATTTGAAAAATTAGAGGCTAGAGTCTTGCCCCCTCCCAGATTAGGCTATGCCGGAAGAGAAGTGGGTGTAGATAAAGGCATATGGAGGGGTGATAGATTCTTCCAAGCGGTCACGATTAATAAATGGACAATAGTGTGTGCCGATAGGAGGCCACCAAGACCAGATGACTTAAGGAACCTAGCTTCATCAGTAAGTATTTTAGTTTAAGAACTTATTTCGTTAACTGAGTCTTTTAGGGATTAAAAGATATTGGAGAGTTACTGAAAACGTGTTTTATGTCGTCCTGTTTGTTACTCTTGTTTTGACGTAACCTGTCAAATTACGCGTAGAAAGACGTTTAGGTCTAACACTAGCTCAAGATTATACAGAAAAGATTAAAATAATCTGATTGAAGGGATTTCTCATAATCCGAGAAAATTATGAGGTGATTATTAAGTCGTTAAAGTACTATTAAATTGAATCTTAATGACTTTGCCATATATTTTGACTATATAAACACTGTAAATACATTTATTCGCTCTTTGATTTTTGATAAAAGGGTCAAAATGTTATCCCAGACCAAACAAACTAAATTATCGGACAAAAAGCGTTTTGAAATTATTTTTCACCATAAAAATGACAAATCTAGTCTAGAATTATGCTGAACAAGGAAAAATCGACGACAGAGCGCGTAGTGGCCAACCAAAGAAAACTTCTGTTCGGGATGACGCTGCGTTAAGAAGAACAAGTCTGGCAGACAGAAGCCTTAATTCCACCCAATTGACGAAGCTGTGGTCTGAATCTACAGGTGTAAGCGGGTGCACTTCCATTGTGAGAAAAAGACTGCCTAGTTTTGGACTTGAGGATGTAAGGCACGGAAGAAACCACTGCGTTCAGAAACGCAAAGATTACACCGTTTGAAATGGACCAAGGAACATCGAATTTGGACAGAACAGTGGCAGAGTGTACTATTTAGTAATGAATCCACTTTCAATATTTAATAATCATGCTGGAAATGCCTACGTCAGAAGATTTCCTGGTGAAGATTTTTCTCTAAAATGTGTTCTTCCCTTAATTAAACATCCAACCTTCGTTATGATATGGGGTTGCATGTCTGCTCGAGGAGTTGGTCGCCTGAACTTCGCTCTCTGGGATTGATGAATGCTACCAAATGCCAAGATGTTGCGTAATGGAAAAGACGAAATTTATTTTTCAGGATAATGCTCCTTGCCATAGAGCAAAATTGGTTAAAGCTTGGATGGAGAGTAATGAAATGGATAGGATGGACTGGCCAGCGCAATCCTCGGACCTCAATCCCATCTAGAATTTGTGGCAAAGAATATCAAACATCATTTCCAAAAGCGAACCCACAAATAAAACGAAATTAATCGAATCTCTAATCCACGCTTGACGTCACTGTATTTCCATGGGGAATTGCAAAAATTAATAAATTCCACGCCCAAAAGCATGTATAGCCACACATCGAAGGCTTTAAGTTTCTTCTCCATAGCTTCAGTGAATGTCTAGGACTCATTATTATAGTATTAAGAAGATATTATAGTATTAAGAAGGACATCGTAAGAGCCTTACTTAGATATCCAGATTAGGTTTGTGATTTTTAAAGAGTTTGGCCATGTTGTTGAATGGACTACGGCATCCCAGAACCCTTTAATCACCACCCTTATAAACCAAAACGCAACCCTCCCAACCAATTTAGACTCAGACAACCTTCTCCTTATACCAAATCTCCCTCCGTACCAAACACCCACACTAGTGCAACTTTCCCTAGATAACCTTCATCTCCTCCTCAACCCAGGACTCGCCTTTCTTTACACTAAAGAATCGAAGAAATCCCCCAAATCATTTGCCAGCAGCGAATAATCCTCTATTTCATCAACAACCGCTAACACATTTCGTGGGTCTGTGCGACCACGGTCAACATTAGGTACTTTAATTCTTACAGTATCACCTATGTGGACCGGAGGGAACTTTTTTCTGAGGTTCGCAACATTTTTGTTGCTTCAAGTAAAAGATTTATTTTTTGCAGTTGATTACTTTGAAGAAATTTTCTCGTGCTGTTCAGTCAGTACTTGGGATGAAGACTTGCTGGGCTGCGGAACGGCTATTTCTTGATATGTAAAAGTGTTACACTGCGAGTCAGTAGGTACTTGAGATATAGGCATGCTAGTTTGCTGATCTGTTCCAATCAAATTTTCTTGAAAAGTATTCAAACAGCCCTCTAGCTGTTTCTCAGTTTCAGTATTTTCAATTTCACTGTAAAGGAGAGATGACGACAGTAGGTCCCTTTTTAGTTTAACGCCAAACATGGCATTATATAGACTCTGGCGTATTCCTTCATGATAAGTTATGTTTTTGGCGAATTAAATAAACGGCAAATTTTCTAATCATTTATTTGAATTATTATCTTGCCTTTACGAAGTTAACATATTCTGTATGTTTTGGTTGGCTCTTTCTACAGATCCTTGCGCATCCTTGCATTTTTACCGATCCGTGTAGAAGTATCCCTACAGATACCTCTTCCGCTCTCTTGCGTTTTCAATAGTCGTAGGTGAATAAGCTTTAGTTAAATGTTTAAAGTTTTTTAATGGCATAATTGCCTTGTCATCATCATTAACCTTTAAAATGCCAAAACTGTTTAAACACCTGTAGCCCAAAGGTGCACTGCACTTATTTTTAGCAGAATAAATTCACTTCCAACAATATTTTAGAGTATCTTTTTTCTTGAGAAAGATAGAAACCATTGTCTTCTTGTTTACTTGCAATTAGGGCATGTAATTTTAAAAAAAAACCTATCACGATTTACTGCAGTAGCCGTTGATCACAAATAATATGCCAAACATTTCTGACATTCGCCGAAACCATAACAAAATTTATAAATGTTCGGACTTTCACAAACAAATTTGGTGTGTATCGAAATTCACCGGTGAATGTCGACACAACCCAATTTCGGACTTTCACAGTAACATGTTTATAATATAGCTCTAATATATTATTATTTGCATTTTTAGCTACTTAGAGAAGCACGGGCAAGTGGTATGGTGATTAATGAAGCAGAACCTCCATTCCAAACAATTGGTTCGATTCCCTTGGACATCAAGAAATACTTCACATCTGTTAAAGGAAAATACGATGTAATATTTGTAGTCGTACCAAATAGCGGACCACAATATAGTTACGTTAAAACAGCAGCCGAGATTAATGTAGGCTGTTTAACACAATGTGTTAAATTGAAAACTGTGTTTAAAATGAATCCTCAAACAGCGTTAAACCTTTTACTTAAGGTTAATGCTAAGTTAAATGGTACTAATCATTTTCTATCTACCCGTCCGCTCATTTTGAATAAACCAACTATGATCATGGGAGCTGACGTGACTCATCCCAGCCCTGATTCGCAACATATACCCAGTGTGGCAGCAGTTACTGCATCATATGATCCTAAAGCCTTCAAATACAATATATGCTGGAGATTGCAACCACCCAGACAGGAGATCATCGAAGATTTGGAAAACATTGTGGTAGACCAATTAAAATTCTTTTATGAGAATAATAGAGGCCAAAAACCCCAACGAATTATATTTTTTAGGTAAGTAATACTATTAGGTCGTGCCGAATTGTTAAATCTAATAAACACATAATATCGTAATAGTAGAATAAAATAAAAACCTAAAATGGAATAAATTAGCTAGTAAATAAATGAGGGAGTATTCGAAAAAACGGTCGAACACTTCGATTAGTATTTATAGTTGCGCATTTTTTTCCATAAAAACTTTTTATACGGGGTATATCAGATAATGGTGGCCAATACCAACTTGCTTATTTTAAATAGAACACCCTATATATTAATTAATTTTTAGATTCCTTAGATCATTTTAGACATTTTTTAAATACAATCCCCTATACCTATCTCTGACTGTTTCGAAAATATTAAGTAAAATGCAGAAATTCACATTTAGAAAAGAAATCTATTTGCCGAAATTGGCTACAACATGTTCAAAAACTTCTAAATAATACAAATCTAAACAATAATATCAATGTAGAAGATGTTCAAAATGCTCCCCACGAACGTCTTGGCAACACCCTAACCATAAATAGAAATTTCTTCTAACGTTACTCAACATTTCAGATGTGATCGATGGAATCCCAACCGTTATTCGTCTTCGTAAGTCAGCTAAGTCAGTGGGTTTAGTTTTGCATACAATACTTTTTACATATCCCCATAAGAAAAAGTCTAATAGCGTCAAATCGGGGATCGTGGTGGCCATTCCATCGATCCTCGTCTCCCTATCCACCGATTTGGAAATATTTGGTTAACGTACTGCCTGGCATGGATTTGGTAGTGGGGTGGTGCTCCATCTTGTTTAAAACCATCATATTCGCTGGAACTTGTGGGTTTCCTGGATCAGGACACAAGTTGGTCAACGTTGGCACTACATTATTTTGGAGCAATGCTAAAAATTTGTCGCCATTCAAAATGCCATCTATGAAAAAGGGACCTATGATCTGATCATGAATAATTCCTGCCCACACGTTAACCTTCTCAGGGTATTGAGTATTTCCTTCTCTCATCCAGTGAGGATTTTCCCTGGACCAATAGCGGCAATTTTGCTGATTAGCATGACCGTGAAGAGTAAAGGTACACTCATCAGAAAACAAAACATGTTCTAATTGGATCACATTGCTGTCTAACATTGCCATCATTTGTTCACAAAATACGTTCTCTTGTCAAAATAATTTTCCATGAGTTCCTGAGTGTGTATAAGTTTATAGGGATGCATTTTGTTTTCTTGTAATATTCGAATAACCAATGAATAGCTAATATCGAGTACTGGGGCTGCTTTTCGAACATATGTACGTGGGTGTTTCTCAAACTCAAGCATAACAGCCAATTTGGTATCCTCACTAGGCCCAATCCAACATGGCCCAGCTTGTGGAATTGCTTCTAATTGTCCCTTGGGATATGTGCGGCAAATCAGGAAATGCTTCGTGTAATAAACGAGCTACTTCCATTTGCGCCCATGTTTTATCTGTATAGCCAATCATCTGTATAATTGTAATTTTGTGCATTTCTGTTAAATGAACCATTCTTCTGTCTTTCGGTTAATGAAATTCAAACGACTATAGTACTTACAAGTACTTCTGTCATGGAACAATAAAACATTGGCATTTTAAACCAAAATAAACAATTTGTTTTTTTTTAACATAACAATAAAAAGGAATGCTTAAATAGTTTTTGCTTACTTTATCATTACCAAGACCTAAATGGGCAAGAAGTATTAACCCTTCAAGCGGGCTAGACGACTTAAGTCGTCGGCTGGAAGTGTATACCATAGTGGGCTGACCGACAAATTCCGTTTTTTGTTTTATAGCGCCTATATTACGCAACTTATAAAGTTAAGAATTTCACTAATAGATAGCTCTGACTACCCTGAACCTAAAATATACTTAGATTTATTTTATTTAAAACGGTTCCAAAGATATGGAGTAGTTTTTCTGTAAAGCGACTGAACCCAGGTGCGCGCGGGGAATCTGCAATAGGGTACGCGCTAAGAGTAGATTTCTGCTATGTAAAATAAGGATTATATCTTGATCTAAGAATATAATTTACTTTAAAATTTAAAGATGCCACTATATGTACTAAATGTCGGTTTTATAAAAGATTTGTTCGTTTTTGAAACGTGCCTTATCTTGATATATTCAAGTGCATATCAATTTCTTTCTGAGGATTTCCAGACCTTTTTTAATTTTATGTTCAGATATTCAGTTTCATCCTACGGTTACTGAAATAAATACGTGTTTCTTACTGTTTTTCAAAAGTGATTATATTATTTTTCTAAAAGTCCGCAAATTCAATTAGTGATATAAATTTATTTATGTAGGTAATTATAAAAACTTTTTTACAAGTGTTCTATTTTCGATCAATTGGACTTTATAATCATAAAAATAAAGCGAGCATTTCGTTTTGATGATGAGAGGGACATAGAACTGTTACAGCAAATGGCTGAAGCTAGTGATGTAGAAGAAGACGCGGACTATATTTTTTCTGACTCAGAAGATGGTGTGATGAATTGGAAGACCCTGCACATTTAGTCCCAAGCACTAGTAGAGAAGGGTTGATTGAAGAGCTACATCGATGTAGAAGGGCTACAGTTACTAGTTCAGAAGATGAATCATCTGAAGATGAGCAAAAGAAACTTATAGAAACACCCATATTTTATCAAATGATGACAGAAAAACGATTTTTTTTTGTTACTTAAATTTCTCCATTTTAGCGACAATGAAGCATTTGATCCTTCAACAAATATTCACCCCAGATTATATAAAATAAAGCCAGTAATGGATTATTTGATCAACAAATTTTTAACAGCTTGTGATCTTGAACAGGATGTCTCTGTAGATGAAAGCTTGCTTCTTTGGAAGGGTCGATTGAGTTGGAAAATATATATCCCCAAGAAAAAGAGCTCGGTTTGGTATGGAGTCATACAGGCTTTGCGAGGCAAGTTCGGGCTATGTCTATAAAATACTTATGTATACCGGAAATGATACTGACCTGCTCTCAGAAATTCACGGACGTGATATATCACGTTTGACGAAACCCACAAAAATTGTGTTGTCTTTGGCCTATGATTTACTAGGAAAAGGTCACAGGATCGTTACTGACAATTATTATTCCTCACCAGAGTTATTTGACATTTTGTAAAATTTTTTTTACTACTAAATTGGTAAATCATTTGTCACATTTTAACAAATGTAACAATTATATTAAGAATTATATTTTATTATTTTTATTACCCTATACGAAAACATATTACCCGCCTATGAACAATGAAAATTTATATAGCTAAATATTGAAGAAACTTGCATTTTGTTGTCGTATGTACCTTTCCCAATGATCAATTACAAGAATTTAACCGATATACAGAAAAAAAATTTCTCCCCACCACACGATACATTTCTGTAAATATTTCTGCCCACTTAAGAGGTTAAGACAGTGGTAACGACTTTCGACAAATAAATAATTTTCTTTTCTAAATGTGACTTTTTGCATTTTACTTAATATTTCCGAATCAGTCAAAACTAGGTATAGGACATTGTATTTAAAAAAACGTCTAGAATGATCTGAAGAATCTAAAAATTAGTTAATATACAGGGTACAGTTAAAATAAGCAAGTTGGTATTGGCCACCGTTATCTGATACACCCCGTATAAAAAAATTTTATGGAAAAAATGCGCAACTATAAATACTAATGGACGTGTTCGACCGTTTTTTAAAATACTCCCTCATTTATTTATTAGCTAATTTATTCCATTTGGCTGGCACACAGTGTATATACAGTATAGGTAAAAGTTTATGTTCGGTATGGACCTTACGTGAGATGGAGTGAGAAACACCTGTTTAAAAAGAGAGAGGTATATTAGGTCCGCCCTTTATATCGCCGAACATGCATGAGTGGATATAATAAAAACGGGGAAGTCCAACGTTGACAACTTATTGGTTTTATTTGACCTGTTGTATTTTTAGCATTTGAACAATGTTCTAAGATAATCAAATTTGGGCGAAATGGATTTAAATGGCAGCTTACTGTTTTTTATTGGGAATATGCCACAATTTTACTTTACAATAAGTGTAATATAATATTTTGATTTCCACTTCGCAAATCGTTTTATATAAATAAAATTTATTAATATTTCGTATTTTAAGTACAATTTCCGAATTAAAATCTAGACATCAAAATAAGCTTATTTTAAAGTCACATTGTGCCTTATTCCCAATAAAAATAATAAACTGCATATAATGCCACAATAAAAAAGCTTTATACAACATTATTTGGTAACGTCTTGTGTCGCGTGGTCAAAGCACCGAATCAAAGTAGGGACACGGGTAACGAGTAGAGGTGGGTCGTTGACGTTTTTATCGTTCGGGCATATGCTTTTTAATGGAATGCATTCATTTTTTTCGAATCCTGAGAAAACTTATAAATATTTTTGAAAAGTTTAAACGCAGAATGAAGGAATACATTATTACCGAGAGCCGAAAGTCCCTGAAAACTTCTATAATGTTTATTTTATTAAGTTGCAGGGGTGAAAAAAAAAAAGAGAAAATTTAATGTGATTTTTAATTTCAAATATCTCATTCAAAAAACTTTTTGTTTATTCTAAGGGACTTTCGGCCCTAGGTAATAATGCAATCTTTCATTCTGCGTTTAAATTTTCAAAAATATTTGTTAGTTTTAACTAACTAAACATACACCTGTATCGAGAGATATAAAAGAAGTCGACATGTATTTGTCTGATGATATATTACCCACAAAACATTACCAACGGAGATTGGAACTGTTCATTACAGTGGTCGAAAAACCATCGCCATGTATATCCTAACTTAACGCCAATATGTTTGTGTACTCGCTTATTTGAAACAATCAACTAGTTACTAGTTTACGAAAAACGGTTCCGATAAAAAAGTCAACGACCCATGTCTATACTAAATTCATTCTCAAGTTAGCGATGAAATAAATAGGTCACCGCGTGATATTCCAGTCTGAATGTGACGAACATCTTATCATTGGCCACATGTTATCGAACTATCTTACAAAATATTAATCATGATAATAATATGAATATCTTATAATAATCACGTTCAGATTCGACTAACTCGCGGTGACTTCTGTTTATTTCGTCGGTAACTTGAGAATGAATTTAGTATAGTTACTTAGGTATAAGGTGGATCGGAACCAGAGATATGTAAAATATCTCTGATCGGAACTAATCGTCTCACTAATGGGCAATAGGCGTATATTAGAAATATGGAGGGGAGATCAAGGGAAAATATGATTGTTATCTTTGTCTACTCGCTGAAAATATGATTTTATATCTGTGTTAGATATCCTGTTAAATTTTACCATACCGACCATAAACTGTTACCTACACTATATATATATATATATATTTATATATATATAATATATATATATATATATATATATATATATATATATATATATATATATATATATATATATATATATTATATATATAGTTTCCGCGGTTAGTACAATTATTCCTAGAGCTAGGTTTAATACTATTACAGGAATTAATATTAAACTCAACAGTCTTCCGGGTTGAACCGCGTCCATTACCATTACTCCAAGCTTTCGACATCTTCGATGTCTTCTTCAGGGCTTCCGAGATCTGTTTCCCGAGCCCCCAGACACTAGTACACTAATCACTTACCAATGACTTACCGGTGCTATAAATATAGGACGGTTCATTTATACCGTCGATGGTGACATGGTTTGGGTGGAAGGCTGTCATGGGGATTGGCGTGAATATTTCTGACAGTAGGATTCTGACTGACGGGAGGAGCGGACGATATTTTCTTAATGAGAGGTCTCCAAGTCGAAGGTAGCCGTATGCCGTCATCTCTTTTATTGAGAAAATTTGTACTTTTTTCAATTTATATGGCTTCTCGGATAATTTTTGGTTTATAGAAGCGGATGGGTTCTATGGTTCTGGAGTTTTCAAAATCAATTGTGTGAGATGTATGACGATGGTGTTGGCTAGAGCTGAAGTTGAGTCGGAATTGCGAACAGAAATGGAATGTTCATAAATCCTATTTTGGATTTTACAATTTGTTTGGCCTATCGGGGGCAGTCTGCACAATGAATTTCTTAAACTCCATGTTGTTCATTTGGAATGTTGTTTTTGAGATTGATCGGACAAGAGATGAAAGTTTTTGTTGGGAGTAGATACCGTCTATTCCTCTTGATGTAAGAATTTTGTCAGTGACACCTTTGATGTAAGGAAGAAAAGCTTTTCGTATAATGAGTGTCTAAGTCTTTGAGTTGAGATTGAGTGAGAGATTGATGTCTGTGGGTGCTCGTATTGATGTGATTTTTGTTGTCAGTGACACCTTTGGTGTAAGGAAGAAAAGCTTTTCGTATGATGACTGTCTAAGTCTTTGGGTTGAGATTGAGTGGGAGATTGATGTCTGTGGGTGCTCGTATTGATGTGATTTTTGAGGTAGTCGTTTTGGATGAGGGCTTTGGATAACTAGAGAGCTCGGCTGATCTACTTGCGCCATCGCAAAGGCGTATTGGTCTGGAGACAAGCGTGTTAATGACTAAAAAAATTTGTGAAGGAGGATGATAAGATTGGCATGCAAGTGGCGATTATTAAAAGTGGGTTTCCGATAAGCAGAGTGATGAAAACCTTTGGATTGGTTTTTCTTAATGATAACGTCGAAAAACTGCAGGGAAGAATCAATTTCTACCTCCATCGTGAACTGGATACTAGGATGTGTACCGTTCAGATGAGTTTCGGATGGAATGGGTTTTAGATGGAATGTAAATCATCAACATTATGGGGCCCCTAAGGCCCATAAGGCGCCCATTGGGACACCATTTATTTGTCTTTAGAATTTATTTTGGAAGATGAAATAAATGTTGATTACTTTCGACTTGGATACCTCTCATTAAGAAAATATCGTCCGCTCTTCCAGTCAGTCAGAATCCTACTATCAGAAATGATCACGCCAACCTCTATCCAAACCACGTCACCATCTACGGTATAAATGATCCTCTATTCCCGGCACCAGTAATCCATTGGTTAGTGATCAGTGTAGTAGTGTCTGGGGCTCAGGAGACTGATACCTCGGAAGCCCTGAAGACGTCGAAAGCTCGGCGCAATAATAATTAACGCGGTTTAACCCGGAAGACTGTTGGGTTTACATCTTCATCACATTACATCATCTACATGCATCTGTTTTTACATCCTCATATAGCCTCAAAAAGCGTTGTTTTCCTTCGAATACATCATCTACATTCGAATCCGTTATCAATATTTTGCTCCAAGAATATACAATCAATTGCCCATAAATTTTAAAAATATCAAAAATTAGATTAGATTAGAAACTGTAAAAATGAAATAATAATTTGTAGAGAAAAACATTAAACCTGTTAATATGAGACAGATAAAGTCAACAAGCATGTTAATGCTTTAAATACTTTTTTTACGTTTATTTTATTGTAAGTAAACTGAAATTGTAAATTAATGTAATACTTATTGATTTGAATAAACGTATATTATTATATTATTATCTAAAATAATTATTATTTTTTAGTACATGTAAAATTACTTTAACTTACCCCTCAGAAAGAATTGAAATGTCAAAATATAATTATAACACAGTTTATTCACTGACAAATTGGGACGAACACATGCACAACATGTATTTATACTGTTTTTTTTTTATCAAAATGGGATCGATTTGTTTGTAATAACTTTTAAAGTGAATTCATGTTTTGATGTATACTAGAATAGTAATTGAATTACCAATAATAATATTCACTTTCTTTGTAAACAAGCCCATCTTTTTATTATTTACTTTATTTCACAGGAATAAAGTGCAATTTTAATTAAAAATAAGTTGACGCAATCAGTTTCAGAACCTTAGTTAAGTGCATATTTTTCAGAGATGGGGTATCAGACGGTCAGTTTGAACAAGTTACAAGTGCTGAAGTACGAGCTATTCGATCAGCATGCAAGAGAGTCCAAAGAGAAGACTATGAACCAGCCATAACTTTTCTCGTCGTCCAGAAACGTCATCATACCAGGCTTTTCCCATTGAATTCAAAAGATTCTCATGACAGAAACTTAAACGTTCCAGCAGGTAAACATTAGAGTTAGTTAGAATATATAGAATATTTTGTCGAATACGATATTTTTACTTTGTATTTTGATTGAGTCAAAAAAAATTGTGACAATTATATACTTTTTGTAGGTACTTGCGTAGACACGCATATTACACATCCATTTATGCAAGATTTTTACCTTGTATCCCACGCTAGCATACAGGGAGTAGCCAAACCAACAAAGTATTGTACCTTGTGGGATGACAACGATATGTCAAACGACGACATTGAACAACTTACGTATTTTCTATGTCACATGTTCACCCGGTGCAACAGATCTGTAAGCTATCCAGCTCCAACGTATTATGCCCATTTAGCTGCGGCCAGAGGCAAAGTCTACATAGAGCCCGAAAATGTGGATTTAAGAAATTTAAATAGGGAATATGAAAGATTTAAAATCCAGGAGAGTATCCAAAAAGGACTACCAATGTTCTTTGTCTAATTTTTTTTTACAAACGTTTATATACAACGGAATAACGGGCTTGATTTAATGGTTTGAATTTGTAATCGAGAAAAATTGTAATTCACGTTAGTTGTAGATTTTAGAATATATCGAGAAAAATTGTAATATTAACTTCAGTTGCAGATAACGGTAGTTGGCAAAAAAATGTTAACAAAACCTTGTTTTTGATTGTATGTATTTGAAAAATGTTCTAGCTAAATATATATACATACATATATAATATCTAAATTAAAAGACTTGCAAGTATTGTTCTTGGCAAAATCTGTATTGGTAATGTTTCGCAGTATTAATCCTTTATTTTAAAAGAAGAAGCTAGACAAAACTCTAGAACGCACTTCTTGTTTTCGGATTTCTTTAAGAGAACTATATATAATAGATGGTTTGCCAAAATTAGAAGATGGAATACTCCGCATTATACCATTTGCGATCGAATGTTCCAACGGTTATGCCAACGCTGTTGTTGTGATGCAGAAGAAATCCGAAATTTGGCAGCAGATATTTTAGGAAAATTAATCTTATTGAATAGTAGAACTATATTGCCATTATAGCAATATTTACTAAGATTGATTCTTTAAATAGAGCTACAGTCATGACAGCTTTTTTGTTGAGGATGTTTTTATATGACTCGGTTTACAAAATCGTAGAGATAACCAATTCTCGTTGCATGTGGTAAGCCGATAAAAGATACTAACGCTCGCATAGCTGATTTTTTTGCAGCTATAAGTTTGTTTAACTGTTTAATTGAAAGGCTATCTGCTGACATTTTGAATGTATCTGTAATAGGTCTCAATCAGTTGGAATTCTCCAACCTCTCTACAACCTGATCTGGGCACTTTTCTGCTAATTTAGTTACTATACTGTATATTATGATTTGAAGGTCATAATTTTCCATATCATATTTTAATGTGGTTTCCACATGTTAAATGAAAATATTTTGTCAAGTTTCTCATAAAAAGCATGTAGAAAATTAAACGTGAATTCGTATGCTTCCTTTCTAATTTCTAAATCATAATCTACGTCTTCTGTGGGGTAGAATATCCCTCTACTTCTGATATCACATTTTGCTTTATGGCTGCCTATCGATAAATTATACCTAAATAAGTATTAAGCTGATCTTTAATGAGTGATGGTTTATTTTGGACTACTCTACTTAATGCTTCTAATGCAATTCGTCTTACGTACAAGTTTTGATCCTGTAAAGTAGGCAGACACTCTCCCATGTATTCAGTTAATGCTTCAATAATTGGGTGAGGCTTATCTGTAATTATCAGTTTAAAAGCTGTCATGAATGTAGCTCTATTTAAAGAAGAATCAGATCTTAGTAAATATTGCCATAATGGCAATATAGTTCTACTATTCAATAAGATTAATTTTCCTAGAAAATCTGCTGCCAAGTTTCGGATTTCTTCTGCGTCACAACAACAGCGTTGGCATAACTGTTGAAAAATTTGAGTCGCAAATGGTATAATGCGGGGTATTCCATCTTCTAATTTTGGCAAACCATCTATTAACTCTCTTAACGAACCCAAAAACAAGAAAGGATTAATACTGTGAAACATTACCAATACCGATTTTGCCAAGAACAATATTTGCCCGTCTTTTAATTTATTATATATATATATATATATATATATATATATATATATATATATATATATATATATATATATATATATATATATATATATATATATATATATATATATATATATATATATGTAATTATATGCATCATGAATTTATACTGGAACCAGCGTGCTCAAGTCAAGGTCGAGAAGACCAGCTGACCGACCAAGTGAAGATCATGCGAGGAGTAACGCAAGGATGTGTGCTCTCGCCGACTCTTTTCAATATATACTCATGAGGAGGAGAGAGGAGATTTTTACTGAAGCCCTCACAAACCTAGAGATGGGAATCCGAGTGAACGGTGAATACATCAATAATATCCACTACGCCGATGACAGTGTGTTACTAGCAACCAGCCTAAACGATCTGCAGGCCTTACTAGACCGAGTGCGAACTGTGAGCGTAACATACGGACTGAACCTTAATATTAAGAGAACTAAATTCACGGTTGTCAGCCATACAAATTTAGATCCCGGGGCACTAATGGCAGGTAGCGAAGAGATCCAGAGAGTCGACAGATTCACTTACCTCGGAACTACCCTCAACTCACAATGGGACTACGCTCAAGAGATTAGATCCAGAATTGAAATGGCACGGTCTACATTTATTAAGTTGAGATCCTTGCTGTGCTGCAGTGATCTCAGTTTGGGAACCAAGATGCAGATAGTGAGGTGCTACGTTCTTCCAGTGTTACTATATGGAGTTGATGCCTGGACACTGACGCAAGCCACTGAAAAACGAATCGAAGCCTTCGAGATGTGGCTATACAGAAGAATACTAAAAATATCTTATGTGGACCATGTCACCAACGTTGAGGTCCTACAGCGCATGACAAAAGAAAAAGAAGTGCTTAATTTAATTAAACAACGTAAGCTTGAGTACCTCGGCCACGTGATCCGGAACGAAGAAAAATATCGAATTCTTCAACTCGTTATGCAGGGTAAAGTATTTAACAGAAGAGGACCGGGAACTCGTCGTATCTCGTGGTTGAAAAATCTCCGACAATGGTTTGGTATGACCTCAGCGGAGCTGTTTCGCAGAGCAGTCAACAAAACCATGATAGCCTTGATGATCGCCAACATCCGGACCGGATAAGGCACTGAAGAAGAAGAATTATGTGCTTTCTGTGGTTTTCCAGGTTTGACTGCGCGTGATAAAAACTATTTTAAAGACATTACGGCAAGGTCGCACTTGACATTGTCGTCAGTTAGTAGCGCTGCTTGAAGTTAACTGATTCTTTGGTCGATGCGTTTACTTTGAATAGCCGCGAGGCTTCTTGTGATTGCTCTTGTACGTGTGTATTGGACCATCTTGTGGTCTGATGGATTTTTGATTTTTTCTTTAATACCGTTTTGCATGTGGTTGAAAGCCTTTGAGCATCATCTCTTTGGTTTAGATTGTTGCGATTTTTTCCATTTCTATTGATTCTATGATTTCGCGATTTTTTTCTATTTTCAATGTTAGATAGCATCGTAGTTTGGTTCAGGTTTATTGTATGTCCTGTATATATATATATATATATATATATATATATATATATATATATATATATATATATATATATATATTTAGCTAGAACATTTTTTAAGTATTTATAATATGTAAATTGTAGGAAACGTTTAAAAAATGTATTTTTATATTTTTTATTACTCTACTTTTAATTCATCTCGATCATGTTATGTGAATAATGGCTTATCTTCTTGGGTTTTAATAGAGTCTTTAATATCTATTTTTATATCTAATACTGTAAGTGTATCTTCTTCCTCTAGTTTGTCCCGATTAATTTAAAACTTAAAAATTAAACTACTCTTTTGCTTATCGCATAGGTTCATCAAACCCTAGCCTGATTCATTATGTTATTCCGTTAAACTAATTCCTTGTCCAAATAAATAGGCTGACGTAATTGATCATCATATCCTCATACTTGTTAATGTCATACTCACATTGCCCCTTCCCCTTATTTAAAATATCGTGCCTGTAAAATGTGTGATGTAGTTGTTAGCTCTTATAAAAATCGCAGAAAGATTTAAAATTGCCTTTCCAACTAACTAATAAAAGATATATAGTATTCATATCATTTAAAAGTGTCTCCCAAATTTATAAATATTGAATATTTCATGATTTATAGATAGGTACTAGATTTATATGTACTCTAAATTGGATATCTTTAAAAAACTACTAAAAATGTTCTACCTAAATACATGTATATTTTAGTTACTATGCACCTTATTTAATATTATTAATCTACTTTTAGTGTGTGCTTTGTATTAGTAGTAAAAGTGTAAACTTTATGTGAAATATAATTTTAAAGGTGTTTAAAAAGAAAAATTTTTTTATTAACGAATAAATTTTTGGATAGCTCCATCTTCAGTTACTGAAAAAAGTTGCACGAGTCACCACAAAAACCAGAACATGATTATTTACATAAATGTTTAATAATTCCTTCAAACCACTAAAGGAAACTGAAACGCGCTCTTAAAATTAAAATATCTTTGATCGGGGAAACCATAATATGACTCCCAATGTAAGAAATTTTTGACCATCTCTCAGTTGGTCCATTTTTTTTTTCAAGTATGTTTAAAACCATTAATTTTTTTCTACATTTCACAGTCTACATTTAAACCTTTTGCATTTTTTGCTTATCTTTTAAGAACCGAAGGTAGGGTAATATACACATTCGTTAATACATAAAAGTTTTCGCTAATTTTATTAGCCTTTAAATTATACCTTTTATTTAAACTTCACACTTTTATTGTAAATTGATGATACTAATTACGGCTGCCAATTATATTTCTAGAGATTCGTTTAGTTTTACTTTTGGTTGTATTAATATATTATTCTTATAATTATAATTGATTACATATTGCAGCTTGTATTATTTTAAACATTATCTTACCTATCCTGGCTCCTAAACCAAAAAATAACCATTGAAATCCCAATGGTTATTTTATGCATATAGGATCCATCAAGCTTCTTTACACGAATATGGACAATTATTCATATGCCTAGAAGAGACCCACTTCAAGCACCAAAATGTGATATTAAAAAAGTATATCCCTTTTCTAAGAAATCGAGATGCTGATCACTCAAGCGGCGGAACAGCAATTTTTGTAAGGGATGACGAGTAAATTGAAATACAAGTGCAAGCAAACTTCGAAATAGTTGCAGTTTCAGGAATGAATATTAATATTTACAATGTTACTTACTATATTTACAATTACCCCATTCTACTGATTCAGACATAATTGAACTAAGTAATGTTTTAAACCAAAACTTGGTGAAATAAGAAAACTGACAATGTGGTAAGCTCCTAAATAATCTAATTGATAATTTAAATTTAGTTTTAATAAATACTGGCAAATCCATTAGGTTCAATGCATTCTACGGTACATTTTATGCTGTAGATCTCTATGTAGTCCTTCGCTATAGAGCGTATCACGTTAAGAACGGAACGTTGCGTAGAAATGGCTATATTTATTACGGACGATAGAAACGCGCCGATGCCAGGACTAGCACAAGCACGATTCAGGGTTGTATTTGTATTATCTTTTACACGGAAACTAATTAAAATGAATGTTTTCTAACGTAACTAACCAGAAGTGCCCATCGGACACAAGAGATGAAAAGTAGGGAAAATGATTTTAATTAAATAAATATTTACGAAAGATAATTTTATATTATTTTAATTATGTTAACAAAAGATTAATTGTTTTTCGATGACAATACAACATGCTATTAGAATCATGGTTCTAATGAATGTTGAATGAACTCAATATCTTAGTACCTATAATGATAACAACGCTCTTTGGTTGTTTAGTAGTAATTCACAATTTAATTTTCATTGAAAATGAAAAATTAAGCCAAGGGAGTATCTTTGACATCTGTGCAAAACAAATTATTTGAAATGTATTTAATTATCCCCTATTTTTAAAGTGGTGATGAAAGTGTTAGAAGCTTAATCGATAAAGTAAGTGCTATGGTGGGTGTAGGCTCTAGTACTATTTCTAAAATAGGCAAAGGAGCTGTGGAACGAGCACTAGGCCCGTAAAAAAAACAAGAAAATGTACCAAAAATAGAGTGAACAGTAGAACGTTCACTTACGACGCAGTAGTTCATGTGAAACTCCGCGCCCTCGTGTATAGTTTTTCTTTTAAAATTTACCGCCGACATTGAACAAAGTTTTTGCACTGGTTAAAAAAAGACACAAGATTTAGCAAAAATGTCACGCACCACAATGTGGAGAATATTTCATGGAATTATTTTTTTTACAAACCAGGAATAAAGTCGACCAGAATGGAACGGCTTGATACTCAGAAATGGGGCATCAATATTTGCGTGAGATTAAAAAATTTTCTTTCCCAAGGATACACCGTCGTTTATTTAGATACATAGGTAGGACATAGTGTTTCCAAGGAATGGAAAGACCTCTCAGTGACTTCAGCCATGGATGCGTTTGATAAGGGGTTGTCAACAGACCTAAAACAGCCGACGCAACGAGGCCCCCGATTTGAGCATACTTGTAGTGAATTTGTGATGCTTTTTGGTTTAAGGAAAAGCTGCTTCCTAATCTTCCAGAAAATACTGTTGTGGTGATAGACAACGCCTCGTACCATTCGAGGAGAGAAGTGATTCCGACATAAGCGTTTAATAAAAATCAAATTAAGACATGGTTGCTGTACAAAGATATCTTTTTTTTTGAAGATTATTTAAAATCGGAGCTTACGGAAGTCGTAAACACATTCAAAGAAGAATATATAAAATCGACGAGATGTGCAAAGAGAAAAATGTTGCTATTTTAATATTTCCTCTATACCATTGTGAGTTGAATCCAATTGAAATGGTATGGTTTCAAGTCAAAAGACATATTTACTCACACAACACAGAGTTTAAGACCACCGCAATGGAACATTAATGAGAAATGCATTTGGTATAGTAACAGTCATCCAGTGATGAAGATAAAATCCAGTCATTTTACAAAAGATCTTACTGATGCTCTAGATATTGTCAAAGCAGCAGAAAATACCATAGTCCTCCGAGATTTTAACGCTAAGTCGGCAAAGGACGCTGTTTGAACATTGTGGGGGATTATGGCTTGGGAAACAGAAACGAACGTGGAGATTGACTTGTCCAGTTCTGTCAAAAACACGATTTAATTATATCGAATACTCACTTTAAACTACCACCGAGAAGACTCTACACCTGGAAGTCAAATGCAGAATCAGAGGACAAAATTATTAGGAACCAAATCGACTTCATTCTAATAAAAAATCGATTTAGAAACTGCATCAAATCAGTTAAAACTTCTCCAGGTGCTGACATTGGGTCTGATCACAATCCCATAGTAGCTGTAACCCAATTAAAATTAAAAAAGGTGATCAAAAAGAAGTCTCGCAAAAATATGATACAGCCCAATTACAAGACGAGAAAGTTAAGGAATCAGTTCAAAGACAACTGCACGTAAATTTAATTTGGGAAAATATTGGTAAAAACGTCGATGAGGGCTTAAATAAAATCGTAACAACAGTAAAAGAAATCTGTGTGAGAAATTTACAAAGCAGGTCAAAGCTAAAAAAGCAGGCTTGGATGACAGATGACATATTGGATTTGATGGAACAACGGCGACTAGCGAAAAACAACGAAACACTTTACAACAGCATACAAAAAGATATTCGACGTAAAGCGAAAAGCAATGAGTCAACATCTAGCCAAACAGTGTCATGACATTGAAGAATTTGAAAACAGATACGACACGTTTAACATTTATGAAAAAGTTTAAAAAATTATGCAATAGTGTGAAAATCGGCGAACACAAAGTGCCAAATCCAAAAAGTACGCATCGCCTTTCTCTGCCAAGCACGTATTCCCATATTCCTCATGTCTTCATCGATGTTATCAATGAACCTTATTCTGGTTCTTCCTCTTCTCTGACAAATGGGTCTATCAAGGAGCGTTTTTCTAGTTGGGTCATATTGTTCCATCCGCATTACATGCCCTACCCACCTCAGACGTCCTATCTTAATACGATATCTGGTTCCTGGTATATTCTATAAAGTTCGAAATTTTATTGTCTTCTCCACACTTCATTGTCATTAACCGCTCTATAGATTCGCCTTAGTACTTTTCTTTGCAAACATCCTATATAACTATATGTTAGGACTGGGCGTGTTATTATTTTGTAGCAAGTTTATAACTCAAGCGGATCAATATAATCCAGTGGCTTTGAGGGCTCTCATGAACTCATGGCTAGTGTTGAAATGCCGAAAAGTACTTAACAGATTGACAGAATAACAGTGTGTCACTTGTATGGGTGCCAGATCGGAAATACCCGGCAATGAAAGATATATTGATAAAAGTGTCAAAAATACATCCGCGACATGAAACAAGCCTGGATCCGAAAATAACATAACTCCCAATAGAAAAGTATACACGATCAAGCACAGGGCAAATTGTTAGTTGGATGGATATACGCTTATAACGCTGAAGTACTGCTGGAAAAAATAGGAATCAGCTCAAAATCAATACAAACTTCCTTACTGGACATGCAACAGACAAGCGACACCCACCTACAATGGGACTGTTTCATGGAGACTTAAGCTGTGCTCCTGAAACACCAACTGCATTTTGCATAACTATAAGGTACTACTTAGTAGACGGCAAACACTCTTTGGAGACTATGAAGTGACTGCGAACTTGGAAAACGGGAATATGTAACATTAGTGAAAAGTTTCTGTTAGTAAATATGTGCTTCAACTTGATAAAACTCGACCTAGCTTTCTCAATCCTGGGGTTGTTGTATGTTGTTGACCCATTGATTGGGAATGGGAAACAAATGTGTACACAAAATGAGAATAAGCAAAACAGGTAGAAATAATATATAAGAAAATTTGTTTTTTGTTCATAGGACACACCTATCAAAAGATATCGAATTTTTACCGTCGAGTTGATGCAAATTTATTTAAAAAATTAATTTCGTTCGCGTAACTGACATTCAAAATCGCCGATCGCTTCAAGAATTGTTTCTGAGAGAACGGTTCATTCTACACAAAAAGTGCTGATAAACATTTTGGGTCAAAATAATCTGTTACATATCTTGTTTGAAACATTTTTTTCTACGGCGTACAGATTCTTGGTAAATCGTTGTATTCCGCATTTCCCTGTCCTGCGTGAGGGGTTTTAGGGGAAACATGTGAGTAGGAGTAATAAACTTTTTTGGAGTCCCAAAATTAACATTTTTAGCAAAATTAAGTTTGTTCGTCTCGTTTTTAGAGATCAAATCTCTGACGACGGGACTGTTTTTGATTTGACATCTAAACCGTGTCTGTACTAGTAGGTGGTCTGAATGGCAGCTTGCCCCACGCCTCCTTTTTTACATCTATTACATGTCGCTATTCTTTTTCAACCAATATGTGGTCTATTTGGTTGTGTGTTAATACTCAGTTACCAAAGTCGTCGTCTTGATATCTGTCCATTACGAGATCTGTCGGAAGATTTCGTAGTTGTACGTTTTTTATAGGAATATGTTACTGGCCTCTTGCCTAACACTCCTACTGTATACAAACTTGGGACTGGCACTGCCAGTAACTAAGCTAGCCAATCCACCAGTACTTACCAGAGGCAGAGTTTCATGAACTAAACAGTTAAGAAAAGTTTCAAAGACTTATAAAATGACTTTAAAAAAAAAATACAAGACACAAGAACAGAAAAGGTAAAAATATTTAAAAAAATAAAACACACAGAATAAGGCGGACTGGTCGAAGAAATATTTAAAGCAAAATAAAAACAAATTTTGTCAGGTTATAATTACCACGTCGCAAATTCCCTCCTTAGACGACTTGGCATTATGCATCAGGTACCATTTAGATATC